TATGTTTGACCTTTGTGAGTTTAATTATTAAAAGGCCTTGAGGTAGTTTTCTTTGGGTTACATTTGTTTGATGTTCTATAACCTTCTTGTACTGGATACTGTTATTTTTCTGTAGGTTTGGGGAGTTCTCTGTTGTTATCCCTTTGAATAAACTTTCTACCTCTATCTCTTTCTCTGCCTCTTTGAAGACCAATAACTTTTAGAATTGGCCTTTTAAAGCTATTTTCCAGATTTTATAGGTGTGCTTCATTCTTTTTTCTTTTGCCTCCTCTGACTGTATTTTTTTCAGATAGCCTGTCTTCACGCTTACGAATTCTTTATTCTGCTTGATCAGTTCTGCTATTAAGAGACTCTGATAGGGCTGGGCACTGTAGTTTATGCCTGTAATCCCAACATTTTGGGAGGCTGAAGTGGGCAGATCGCTTGAATCCAGGAGTTTGAGACCAGTCAAGGCAACATGGCGAAGCCCCGTCACTACAAAAATTAGCCAGGTGTAGTGTGGCTTGTGCCTGTGGTTCCAGCTACTAGGAAAGCTGAGGTGGGAGGATTGCTTGAGCCTGGGAGGTGGAGGTTGCAGTGAGCTGTGATGCCACTGCACTCCAGCCTGAGTGACAGAGTGAGATCCTCAAAAAAAAAAAAAAAAAAAAAAAGATATTGCTTTTTATCTTTCCTTTTCTTTCTTTCTTTTTTTGTGAGATGGAGTCTCACTTTGTCACCCAGGCTGGAGTGCAGTGGCATGATCTCAGCTCACTGCAACCTCCACCTCCCAGGTTCAAGCAGTTCTGCCTGCCTCAGCCTCCTGAGTAGCTGGGATTACAGGCACCTGCCACCATGTCTGGCTAATTTTTGTATTTTTAGTAGACACAGGGTTTTGTCATGTTGGCCAGGCTGGTCTCAAACTCCTGATCTCAGGTGATCCGCCCACCTCGGCCTCCCAAAGTGCTGGAATTACAAGCGTGAACCACTGTGCCTGGCCCGCATTTTTCGACTGTGGAATTTTGTTTGATTCTTTTTTATTATTTTAATCCTTTAAAAAATTTATCTGATGGAATTCTGAATTTCTTCTGTGTTACCTTGAATTTTATTTGAGTTTCCTCAAAGCAGCTCTTTTGAATTCTCTGTCAGAAAGGTCACATGTATCTCTTTCTCTAGGATTGGTCCCTGATATTTAGTTCATTTGGTGAGGTCATGTTTTCCTGGATGGTCTTGATACTTACAGATGTTCATTGATGTCTGGGCTTTGAGTAATTAGGTATTTATTGTAATCTTCTCAGTCTGGGCTTGTTTGTACCCATCCTTCTGGGGAAGGCTTTCCAGGTATTCAAAAGGACTTGATGATATGGTTTGGCTGTGTCCTTACCTATATCTCATCTTGGATTGTAGCTCCCATAATTCCCACGTGTCATGGGAGAGACCCAGTGGGAGGTAATTGAATCTGGGGGGCAGGTCTTTTCCCATGCTGTTCTTGTGATGGTGAATGAGTCTCATGAGAACTGATGGTTTTATAAAGAGGAGTTCTCCACACAAGCTCTCTCTTGCCTGCTGCTAAGACATGACTTTGCTCCTCCTTGCCTTCCACCATGATTGTGAGGCTTCCCAGCCACATGGAACTGAGTCCATTAAGCCTGTTTTTCTTTATAAATTACCCAATCTTGGGTATGTCTTCATTAGCAGCTTGAGAATGGACTAATATACTTGGGTATTATGATCCATGCCATATCTGCTTTAGGGGACATCCCAAGCCCAGTAACGGTGGGTTACTTGCAGACTCTGTGGTTCTTGCAGACTCATAGAGGTATCGCCTTAGTGGTCTTCAATAACATTCAGAAGAATTCTCTGGATTACCCCCCAGGTTCCAGGTAGGTCCAGAGATACTATCTTGGAACCAGGGACATGAGTCAGAAACCTTAGGAATCTACCTGGTGTTCTATTCTACTGCAGCTGAGCTGGCACTCAAACTACAAGACACAGTCCTTCCCACTCTTCCCTCCCCTTTTCACAGGCAGAGGAGTCTTAGCCCGTGGCCATCACCACCACAGGCCCATGGGGAGTACTGCCAAGCTACTGCTGATGTTCACAAGGGCCAAGGGCTCTCTCGTGAGCTTGTCTTGAATGCTGCCAGGCTGGGACTCACCCTTCAGGGCAGTGGTCTTCCCTCTGGCCCAGGACAGGTACAGAAATGCCATCCCAGAGCCAAGGCCTGGAATAAGGTCTCCAAGAGCCCACTTGTTGCTCTACCCTTCTGTGGCCAAGCTGGTACCTAAAGTGCAAGCCAAAGTCCCCTTTACTTTGTCCTCTGCAAGAAGAAGGAGTCCCTCCCCATAGCCACCACAGCTGGGAATGCGCTGAGTCTCACCCCAGTCCCACAGTGTATTACCTGGATATCACTCTGGCTATTCAGGGCCCAGGGGCTCTTTAGTCAGCAATTGATGGATCCTCTGAGGACTAGGCCCTTCCCTTCAAGGCAGTGGGTTCCCTTCTGGCCTAGGATGTGTCTAGAAATCAGAGCTAGGGTCTAGAAAAGAGGCCTCACACCTCTGCCTGGTGCCCTATCCTACTGTGGCTGAGCTGATTTTAGAGATGCAAGACAAAGTCCTCTTTATTTTTCCCTCTCCTTTCCTTAAGTATAAGGAGGGAGTCTGTTCTGGAGCTACAAGCTATGCTTCGGGGAGGGGTGATGCCAGCACTCCCTTAGCCACCCTAGCTGGTGTCTGAGTAGGTTGTGTATCCCCCATGTCCACTGCCTCCAAGCCCAGCACAGCTAGACCTTGCCTAGGAGTTGCAGTCCTTGTGGCCTAGACTGATTTTCAAGTTTATTTAGGGCCCCAGAACACTTTAGTCCATGCTGGTGTGGCTTGCTGGAACTCAGGTTCCTACTGCTAGGATGGGTGATGCCTCTCTGGCTGTGGCTCATCTGAATGCTTCCTCTGTGGGTGGACATCAGCTCAGTTCAGCTTTCTACTGTGATGGGATGGCACTGAGTTCAGTGTAAAGTCTCACAGTTGCTGCACTGTCCCTCTCCCAAGTACACAGATTTTCTCTCCGCAGCACAGGGCCGCTGATGGGAGATGGGGGAGGGATGGCATTGGTGATTTAAGACTGTCTTTCCTACCCTCTTCGGTGTCCCTTTCAGTGAAACGAAGTTAAAACCAGCTACTGTGAGTGCTCACCTGTTTCTTGGTTCTTTTTTTTTTTTTTTTTTTTTTTTTTTTTTTTTGAGACTGAGTCTGGCTCTGTCGCCCAGGCTGGAGTGCAGTGGCCGGATCTCAGCTCACTGCAAGCTCCGCCTCCTGGGTTTACGCCATTCTCCTGCCTCAGCCTCCGGAGTAGCTGGGACCACAGGCGCCCGCCACCTCGCCTGGCTAGTTTTTTGTATTTTTTAGTAGAGACGGGGTTTCACCGTGTTAGCCAGGATGGTCTCGATCTCCTGACCTTGTGATCCGCCCGTCTCAGCCTCCCAAAGTGCTGGGATTACAGGCTTGAGCCACCGTGCCCGGCTTCTTGGTTCTTAAGAAGGGGTGTGTGTGTGTGTGTGTGTGCGCGTGCGTGTGCGTGTGTGTCTGTGTGTGTGTGTAGATAGTTGTTAAATTTGGTGTTCCTGCATGGGGGATGATTGGTGGAGCTGTCTTTTTGGCCCTCTTGTTCCTGCATATTATCCATTTTTAAGAACTTTTTAATGTATTGCCAAACTGTGTTCCACAAAGGTTTGTACAGTTATGAGTGCAGTTTAACTGCTGCCTGGATATTATTTAGTTGTAATTTGATAGGAGAAATCATTGTCTTTGATTCCTAAAGGAGTTAAACATTTTTTTTTTCACTGCCTTAAGAACCATTTGTATCTCTTCTTGTGTAAAATATAACACAGGTTTCCAAATAGATACACTGTTTCTCCACAAAATGTGTAAGTTATTGCTGTCATATAGTACTTTGTAGTTTAGAAGTACTGCACTTACGTTTCTCACAGCTTCTCTCTGTAGTGGCAGTTCAAATATAATAGATGAAGAAAAGTGAGGTTCAGAGAGATTAAATAAGTGGCAGAACTGAGACTAGAACCTAGGTTCTATGGCTTATGTTTCTTTGTTTAGAGATCATAAATGTTTACTTCTCAACTTTCTGAAGTTTAGAAACAAAGCTCTGGGTAATTGCTTTCCTTAGTAATGCTAAATACTTTATAGGTCTTTTAGAAATTTGGTTGTAATTTCTATAGCACACTGATAGAAACATTTTTCATCTTTATGGCTATATGGCTATATAGTTTTTCTTTATGATGACCACTTAAAAGCAGTTGAGTACTTTTACATCAGACATTTCAAAGTTATGTATTTTATTAGAATTTTCAGTGGCCAAAAAGTAGCGTCTTTTTTCCTTTATATTGTAACTTCATTCAGGATTCAAAGTTTCGATGGTAAAATTTCAATAAGTATTTGTTGTCTTCCACAGTGTATCATGAGGAAGTATTTTATTGAACTATTTTTTAAATATTGTCCAACTGAAAACCAGAAATATCACTTAGGTCTCAATGTAAAATATTTAACTATTTTTTAAAAATTAGGCTAAATGATGTTCAGGGAATGGGCTTAAAGAAAAGAGAACAATGTTGTTTGTTTCAAGTAGGAAAATGATTAACAGGATCTTACTGGAAATACAGTATGTGAAATATTGCAAGAGACAAAGCTTACAAGGAGAGGAGTTCTGAAGTCGGGTAAAACTAATATTTTTATGAAAATTGATTATTTCCATTTTTTAATTGATGTGAATAATTTATAGGTACAGTTCTTAAAATATGCCTAAGGTCCTCTATTGAATTTATTATTTTGTTCTCCCATTTATTCAAGCCCAGGCAACATTATATAGTTTTCCCCCTTTATTTAAGAAAGCTTTCTAGATAACTGCTAAGAATTTCATTTCTTTTTTTAAGAACTTATATTGTCTAAAAGCTTTGAGAAGTATTAATGTGTTATCATAAACTTTAATTAAAATACAATTTTTAATTTTTGTAGTTGGCTTGGACACCTTTTCTGGCTGCATTCAGTGTGGGTCTACAAGATTGTGATGATACTGAAGTAGCCTCTCTTTGCCTGGAAGGTATAAGATGTGCAATCAGAATTGCATGCATTTTCAGCATTCAGGTAACAGAGAATTTTGTCTTTGTAGCCAGTTTAGAACATTAATTATGCCATTACAATAGTTTAAATTACAATAATTGTTTTATGTGTGACATTAAAAACTAATTTCAAGTTTATGATGGAATTTAAATGAATCTTAATGTTTAAGCTTCTGAGAGGCTGTTATGGAAGGGGTAGTTCTATACTGATCTGTCTAAAGTTTATCATTATAACTTCGGTTACAGTTTTTTGTCTTATTGAAGATTATATAAAAAGTTTTCAAGACTTTGAATTCCTATGTTAATTTGAACATCTTGTTTAAACATATAAAATATTTTATTGAATCAGTTTATATACAAGGATGTATATATTCTGTATGATTTTATAACTTAAGCCTAAGAGCAGGTTATCTTTAAGACATGTAAATATTGAATACATACTTTTCATGAAAGAAGTCCTTTCTAGTAATTTATATGCTTTGAGGAACTTTTCTTTTAAAAAAGGAAAAATGCATTCAACATTTAATTATAAATGCTAATGGCTTGCAAAAAGTATAGCGTAGCTGTGGAGAAAATGAGCAAATGTATAAATTATGTTTTTGCTCATCTACATAGTATTCAAAACAAAAGTGCTTAATGAATTTTTTTTACTGTATTAATTCATTGGTTATCACTAAAAGTCTCGATTTGACACTACCACTGGCTTTGGATTTTAGAAATGTGTCTTTTCTGCTTCATGCGTCATCTTAAAATGAATGAAAATAAAAAAAACTTTTGTGAAATTATATGTAATTCATGACAAGTAAAACTTACTGAAGTTACAAGTTACTGAACTTACGAGTTTAGGAGTGGAGGTTTAATAGGCAAAAGAGAGAGAAAGGAGGGCTGGGCACGGTGGCTCATGCCTGTAATCTCAGCACTTTGGGAGGTCGAGGCAGGCAGATCATGAGGTCAGGAGTTCGAGACCAGCCTGGCCAACACAGTGAAATCCCACCTTTACTAAAGATACAGAAAATTAGCTTGGCATGGTGGTGGCCGCCTGTAATCCCAGCTACTCGGGAGGCTGAGGCAGAAGAATCACTTGAACCTGGGAGGCGGAGGTCACAGTGAGCTGAGATCACGCCATTGCACTCCAGCCTGGGTGACAGGGTGAGACTCTGTCTCAAAAATAAATAAATAAATAAATAAATAAATAAATAAACAAACTTACTGAACAAGTAAAGAGAGTTTGTTGGTGGGGAATTAATCAATCTGCTCTTATTTACAACTGTGTAAATATACTTTTCTCTTTTTTATAGCTGGAGAGAGATGCATATGTCCAGGCACTGGCAAGATTTACCTTACTCACAGTGAGTTCCGGTATTACTGAAATGAAACAGAAGAACATTGACACAATAAAAACACTTATCACAGTGGCTCATACAGATGGAAATTATTTAGGAAATTCGTGGCATGAGGTATAAGCACTTTATTTTCAGCTTTGCAATTTGGTTTATAAGATGAGCTAATGCTAAATAGTCCATCAGTGAAATGCCTAAATGTTTGGGGAGAAAATTAGTACATTTCGAATAAGTACATTTAGCTTTTTAAAATAATCTATAATGTAGTCTGTGTTTAAATTGTAGCTGCATATATAAATCTTTTTGAAGATATTTTTAACATGGAATTTAACATTTTTTTCCTTTTTGTAATTAAGATTCTGAAGTGCATCAGTCAGTTGGAGCTGGCACAGCTTATAGGAACTGGAGTGAAACCTCGATACATTTCTGGAACAGTGCGAGGCAGAGAAGGATCTCTTACTGGAACAAAAGATCAGGCTCCTGATGAATTTGTGGGTTTAGGGCTAGGTGAGAATTTTTACAAAGTATCAAAAATTGTTTTTAACTTCCTCATTATAAGTCAATTTATTGTAGTAATGAAATATAATTAGAGGGAGAAGATAAAATGCCTTTTGTCTAACCTTATGAGAAAAAGTAAGATGACTAAGGAACTAAATCTTTTTTGCCTGGTCTGGTTTGCAACATTAAATGACCCTTAGTTTCAGGCTTCTTCCTGGTTGTTGGAGAAGAATACAGTGCGTAGGGTTTTTAAATTACCTGCTTTTAAGAATAAGCAGGTAACTTGAATGTGTGAAAGCTGGGATCAGGTAATAGTTGGGGCAGCTGGAGAAAGCATTCACATTCAGAATTGTTAAGGCAATGAGCAGGCTTAACCAGACTTTTCTGCCAGTCTGAAGCCTCTCCCAGTGGCTCCCCATGCGCTTAATATGACCAGAAACTTTCACATTTAACCCAGTAGAACAAAAAACATTAGCAAAAATGGACAGAGAAGAATGAAAAGCAATACATTTTTTAGTCATAAATGGAAGGACTTCCACCAGGGAAGAAACAGCTTATTAGACTTTGACCTTAAGTATTTCTGGGTTTGAATTCTTCTGTATTTTTTCCTTATTATATGTAAGTTACTTTAGTTTGCTGATATTCGATTTCTGCTTTTGCAAACTAAGAGTAATATCTAATCACAGAATTGTTAGGATTAAATAAGAATATATATTAATGGACTTAGCATAATGGCTGATATATTAGAAGTTTCTAGATATTCTCTCTGCATCCCTCCCCAACCCACACCTCTAACCAATCTGGACTCATTACTTAGAGCAGGAATCTTCTATCTTTTAGTGATTCCTCTGTTGCTGCTAGCAATACAAATTCTTAGAAACCCCAAAAGAATTTCAAACTTTATAAAGGATCCATAGGAAAAGAAGTAAAAACCAGGACCACATTATGGCTTCAAGTTGAACTGGGGAAAACTAATTCCCGGTGGTAATCAACTGAAGCAGCTAGCAGTGCAGTCTATCCCTCCATGGTAGCATAGATACTTCAGTATTGTAAGGTCTGGGAGGTGCAGGTGTAGACTTGATACTTTGGTGATCTAGCAGCAAGATTTAGAACTACCTGAGCACCTGCACAATGACTTACATAACTTGGAAGCCCAACTCTGTACATTAGAACTGTAATTACTCCATGGGGTAACATGAGATACAGATGAAAACTATTTTCAGGCAAGGAAGTAAATGTGCACTGATTGGTTCAGTAACTTTGAAAAGGCCTAGAGAGTGTGGGAATGCCAAAATAATGACAGGTGTTAATTGCTGGGCCTGAGTTTTGGCAAGTAGAACTACAGAATTAGGTTACACTAAAAATAAAACACCAGTGGGATATCTTCTAGAAGTTTTAGTCAAATGAGAAATAATGATACTTGCTGATAATATTTATTGGTATACTTGAAAATGAATTAAAGTTAATTCATGTACTGTGCTACTTAGGTTGCAAGGATATGAGATGAACTGTCTTCTCCCTTCAGAAAAAGGGAATTTGCAGAAAGATACACACATTGAGGCCTAGAAATGAAAAACAGTTCAGCCTTCCAGGCCACTCTCAAGACCAGTAACACTTATTTTATGCCTTATTTAGGTTTTCTCTGTTATGTACTTTTCTTTTTGGTCTGCACCATTCTCTACTCACTCCTGACTCATCACGCTCCATTTTTGAATCTACATCCTAGAAGGAGCTAGGCTGTTGACTTGGCCCCTGTTGGGCAGAGCCCTCCCGTTGGGCCATCGCGTTGGTTACCAGCCAACCCATGTGACAAATGGCTACCCTTGTCCCCCTGTGCCTCCCAAGGTCAGACAGCAGATGCTTTCTGGAGCAGAATGTTGTCATCAGAATTTAAGCTAGAAGAAGATGTGGTACAGTCAAGCCAGTTTAGTCTGCATATACAGTGGACATATATATATGTATATAGTTTTAAACTAATCCTCTTTTTATTTTTTTGAGTCAGAGTCTCACTCTGTCGCCCAGGCTGGAGTGCGGTGGCGCGATCTCAGCTCACTGCAACCTCTGCTTCCTGGGTTCAAGTGATTCTCCTGCCTTAGCCTTTTGAGTAGCTGGGATTACAGGCATGTGCCACCATGCCTGGCTAATTTTTGTATTTTTTAAAATAGAGACAGGGTTTCACCATGTTGACCAGGTTGGTCTCTAACTCCTGACCTCATGTGATCTGCCCGCCTTGGCCTCCCAAAGTGCTGGCATTACAGATGTGAGCCACTGTGCCCGGCCATATCCTCTTTTATAAATGGTATCTCTGCCAAGTATTCCATGTAACCAAGTTGATAGGGTTGAGTATATATTTATCATACTTTCTGACTGATAGTAAAAAAGTCTGTACTTTCACTTTTTGGAAATATGAAGCTTTCAGTTATTAAGAATACATAGTAGATAATTATTAAATTTGAATTATATGCATTCTTTTTTTTTTCTATTTTTTTTAAAGACAAGATCTCACTCTGTTGATGAGGCTGGAGTGCAGTGGCACAGTCAACTCCTGGACTCAACTTTTTTTTTTTTATTAAAGTTAGTAAAGTAAAAGCTTGTCCCAGGCTTTCACTATGGTTTCTTTTTTTCCTATTTCAGTGTGTTGCCCAGGCCTGTTTGAAACTCCTGGTCTCAGGTGATCCTCCCACCTTGGCCTCCCAAAATGCTAGGATTACAGGCATGAGCCATGGCACCTGGACTGCATGTGGGTCTTTCAAGAGATATGTTAACATTTAAAAATTCAATGGCTTTGTCACATAAATGGTCAGAGAGTATTCATGACACACACTTTTAAAAATTTTATTTAACCTAAATATGCCCTCTCTATTGTAATTGCTTTTCTTTCTGCTTTCTTTTCTACATAACCATCCTTCTACGTCTAGATTGAATGAATTTTTCATCAGATGTGAAACCTTTCTTTGAGCTAACATCCCTGTTCTCTTGGGTGCTTTTGAATAAATTTGACAAAACTGAAACTCTTATTAAGAGATTTCACATATTTGTGAAATGGGTTCTATGGATTCCTAGACATTTTATGTATTCTTTGATTCCTTTAAATATTTTTTATTAATGATTTTAAATTTTTATATTTAAATATAAAGGACATTTTGACACGTGTGTGTGTGTGTGTGTGTGTATTTTTTCCCACCCCCCCCCAACAGAATATATGTATTTCCTCTGTGAAAAGGATATCCTGTTGATACACAAAGGAAGTTACCTCATGATTGGCGTTGTTTTTTTCTCATAGGTTTTTCTTTCAAAATTCCTGTAACATGCTGTGCATGTCGAGTTTGCCTTGAAACTATTTCCCTACCAGCCCAATACTGTGTCACTTCAGGCTTTCATTCTTGTTCACTTGTATTATAGGAGTAGACTTTTAATTTATCTCTGATTTCAATATTTTTTCCTATTTCAGTATGTTCTCCAGATATTACCAGTGTTGTCTTTTGGAAAATAGATTAGATCATATCAGTCTTCTAAAAGATCTAATAAATCCCTGTTTTCAAAAGTAGTACATTAAACCTAAGGGTCAAGGCTCTTCACATTCTTATTTCTAGTCTGTGTTTTCAGCTTTATCTCCTACTACTGTTCTTTTCCCTTCTTCCCAGTGTCTGCCAATCCTTCATTATGGCTATACTACCAAGTATGTGAAAACGTGATGTACAGTTGTATGTTTCCACTACTTTATATAGCTGCCCCCTCTGTCTCAATTGCTTTTCTTTCTCCTTCCTTTTCTACATAGCTATCCTTCTAGGTCCAGGTTGAATTAATATTTCATCATATGTGAAGCCTTTCTATGAGCTAACACCCCGTTCTCGTCCCTATCAAAATTAGTTCTATTTAGCAAACTTTTATTCTATGTAATTAGTTCATTTCAGCCATGAAGTAATCATTAATTGCATTGAAGTTAATTATAAACATATCTATCTCCTCTCCTCGTGTAAATTATTAACTCGAGGACAGGGGTTACATCTTTTTCACATCATTCAGTTCCTAGGATAGAATTTGAGTTCAGCAGGTTTAAATGATACCATCTGTTATGTTTGCCTTCAGAAGGGCATTTATTGAGTGGTCACTCGGGTCAGGTGTTTGTAGAGCACCTGCTTTGGACTTAATTGTGAGTAAGGTAGGAAAGTACAAAATGTATATTACTTGATTCCTAACCTTAGGAAACTTTTTATCTGGTTATGAAGGCAACATTAACACACCTGAAATAATTTGTATGAAACTGTATGAAAGTAATTCTGATTTGAGTAGTACTTAGCTAAGTAAATGCTTAATTCAAAGGCAGATGAGAACAATGGAGAGGAACTTTTCGTTGAGAACCCAAATTGAGTCTTGGTAGGTAAGTTTTAGATAGTTGAGGGATGGCACATTTTGGCTAGACAGTTGAAGGGAAGTGCTTTAAATGCTAGGCTAAAGAGTTTATATTTTACCTTGTAAGTAACAGTAAGCAAAATGAAGGAGAAGATTTAGGAAATAATCTCGCAGGGGGATGAAAGAGATTGAAGAGGGAAATAATGGTGGGGAAATCAGTGAGGAAATGGCTTCAGTAATCTAGGACTGAGATGATAAGGGCCAGAACTAGGTAGGAATGGAAATGAAGAGATGATATGAAAAACAGATCAGAAGAAAAATTTAGTGACTAGTTGAATATTGATAGTGGAAGAGGATACCAAAGGTGATTCTAAAATTAAGAGTTTGAAAACTGGGAATATTGTTGTTCTCTCCAACACATGGAACCAGTTTCAAGGGAAAAGATAAATGATTCTTTTCAATAAAAGAGTGTTAGAAAATACAGGTAGAATTTTCAACTAACTGGCCAGGCCCAGTGGCTCACGCCTGTAATCCTGGCATTTTGGGAGGCCGAGGCAGGCGGATCATGAGGTCAAGAGATCGAGACCATCCTGGCTAACACAGTGAAACCCCGTCTCTACTAAAAATACAAAAAATTAGCCGGGCGTGGTGGCAGATGCCTGGAGTCCCAGCTACTCGAGAGGCTGAGGCAGGAGAATGGCGTAAACCCGGGAGGCGGAGCTTGCAGTGAGCTGAGATCCGGCCACTGCACTCCAGCCTGGGCGACAGAGTGAGACTCTGCCTCAAAAAAAAAAAAAAGAATTTTCAACTAACCTTTGTAAATAGGGGACTAGAGATTAAATGACAAGGGAAGTCTAAATACTTGGAGTTGGAATCATCCTTAGAAGGTATCACTGGAACTGGGATTAGTGCTGCATTTCTTTAAACATTAAGGGAAATTATATCTAACATCTATACTTTTGTGATATAAATTCACAGTGCCCCTACTTTGTGTGATCTTTACAAACATAGTTTGTGACTTGTAACCATGTGTTGTATACTACTTAGTAAAGTTCATTTGCACATTTGGCCTTGATAAGTGTCACTGATGCCAAAAGAATTGTTCACCTGAAACATTCTTTTATTAGGAAAACAGTTGATTTCAGAAGTATGTTTTAGAACTGTTAAGTGTATTCTTCTACTGAATTATTTTCAAACTGAAATGACTCTTTTTTATGTGTGGTAGTTGGAGGAAATGTGGACTGGAAACAGATAGCAAGTATTCAGGAATCCATTGGAGAAACCAGTTCTCAGAGTGTTGTTGTTGCTGTAGATAGGTAAGGTATTCATTTTATTCCCTTTTCAGATGATTACTATTTCAGTTCTGTAGCATTTAGGTATTTTCTTATTGGTAAAAAGAAAAAAAATTATTGCCAAAGTCATTTTCCTAAAGTAATATAAGATTATATTGTGATATGCTGTGATTTAGATGATGAAGTACCTATAATTTTGCTTTTTGGATCATAGTTACAATAAGATATTAGTGGGCATTTAAGTTACAGTAGATATTAATGGGCATTAAGGAAATGGTAACCTTGATGGAAAAGAATACAAATGTTTTATTTTCTTGTAGAAAACGTACTCCCTTTATTATCCCTATTTGAAAATGTTGTGTAGTTTATTTTTCTGGGTCCACAATAAAGACTGCATTATGGATGAAATGAAAGGTTTTATTGGCAATTCTCATTATAAACTTTTGGAAGGGACTTCAGAATTTATGGTTTATACACATCACCACATATTCCCCATTTTTAGTTTGTTTTCTAAAAGAAAACCCGTAGTATGCTTTATTTACTACAGAATATTTCCAATTTTAAAATGCCTAGCATGTAGAACAATATCTCCTGTTGTTCTTTTGAAGATTAGCTTTTTCCAGATAAATGCCCCCAAAACTGAAACATTTTACAGCAATGTTTTTTCATTTTCTTCCTCCCTTTCCCTCACTTGTGATGGAAACTTTCAAAAACGTAATTTTGTACAAATCTTTCCTTGGTAGTCTGGAAACTCATGCTAATCCATTATTTCACTTTGCTTCAGATAAAACTTTTTGCTCTAGGTACAGGTAGAACTAGAATGTTCAGTTCAGTGGCCACTGACCCTGGAAGTACTCCATGGAACTTTTTCCTTGAATCCTTAATGTCCACTTGCTTTTTTTTTTTTTTTTTTTTAAGAGGAGTCATTTGCCTGTTTTTTTGTGAAGATTGAAGAAAGATTATCTCATACCTACTATATAACAAACATGAAGGCTTGCCACAGATGAGGCACTTGCAAAACGCTTTACATTTAATCCTTTCAGTAGCCTGATGAGATGCGTATTCTTGTCCTCAGTTTACAAATGAGGAAACTGAGACAGAAAAAGATTAAATAACTTGCTCATTCCCACAACTAGGCTTGTAATAAGCATGCATGCTTAACCTTTCAACCTACATGTACTACTGCAGAGCTATGTAACAGCCCTTCTGCTACCTGGCTAGCTTTCTTGTCAATGATTTTCTTGCCTTCAAGAAAAATCATCTTCACTGTCATTTTGAGAATCTATTCAGGCATGATTCAACATTTTACCTACTATTTCTGCTTTTATAATGTACTTTATGTGACCACATCTAGTTCTAATTTATCTTCCTATCCACTGTTTGTTACAGAGGGACATATTACTCATTTGAAATTACATGCCTCTCTGTTTTAAGAATTTATGTTATTTCAGAGGAGACTTAGCATACATTTTGTTTGTACTTTGTCATCACAATCTTGTCATTGCCAGATACTTCTACAAACATAAATCCAATGTCAAATTTTATACAAAACCTCAGTATTGCAAGTTTTTGCTTATAGTGAAAACACCAAAAGTTATATATTTGATCTCTTATAATGTTATATTATTCTTAAGTGGTATATTTCACTTTCCCATTAAATGTTTTTTGAATATCTGAGTTTATTTTCATATCGTTATGTTCAAACTTTGGTCCATTACCCAACTTAGTGAGATAATACTGGTAGTGAAGACAGTAGTGAAAATAGTGTCAGGCATCAGTCTGGAGAGTTCTGTACTTATCCAGCAAACAGTATTTTCCTATCCTTAGGCCTATTTTTCTGCATAACCTGTTGTTATAAGTACAGGAACTAAAGAAAAACAAAAATAATTTTTGTATGTTTAATTCTTTATAGCTTCTGGTTTATTAACCAACAGAAAAAAATAAGATTTTATTACAGACTTTAAGGTGATAAAATTTTCTAATTATTTACTTTTGTATTAGGAATCTTGTATTATTAGGATATAGGAGAAGAATTTTGGGCACTTCAATCTGGGAATAACTGATCTTCTAGCATTTGCTGGGATAGAATTTTTTATGCATTGTTAAATTAGACCAATTTCATAATGAATATTACTAAACTATGCAGGAGATAGACTTTGTCCATGAATAGTTTATTTTTAATAGGTGAAAAACAGTTATTTAGCATCGTAGTTTTTCTCTTTATGGTTTTTTATACATACCAGATCTAGCTATAAACTGGCTTACCTCACACTTTGGAATATTTCACCTATCAGAAAATATGTACAACTCATCCCAACTTCCTTTGCTCGTAAATACTTTTCATTTAGGCCTAAGAAATAAATGTTACCTCTAATATATTCTCTGTGAAAAAACCTTTTACAGGTAAGATAATATAGGCTGCTTGTGTATTGCATACAGTTTAAAACTTGATTTGATGCAGAATCTGCAAAAGTTTTGCCAACCTTTTTTTGTTTTTCTATCTGTATTATAATGTGATGAAGCAGTAATCTTACCAATGTTTTTTTTCTAATGCTTTTTAAAAAGCACATTATTTTTAATATTCGTAAACAAGGTTCTTGTGCTTCTGTCCTTTGCTTTTTCTATGGAAAATGTAGAAACCATTTCATAGGCTGATTTTATGAAACACAGCTCTGTTCTCTTGCCTTAATATTAAGGCTTGACTTTAAATGCCCCCACAGACTGCTGTGTTCTACCATATGGCTTATCTTTAGTGGAGCATTACTAGAAATAGAGTGACCCCCTCAGAGGCTATGGAAGTGAGTAGGAATTGGGATGCCCTTTCTCAGAATGGATGCTCCCCCGACCTTCCACCATCACACCAGTCCACAGAACCTGTCTTATTACTGATGATAGTTCTCTCTCCTGTTGCCTTTGTTCTCCATTATTTCAACACCTTCAGAATCTATTGCTTCCCTTCTGTGTGGTTTCATCTCTGCTTTTGTTCTTTCTTTACCTCTGTACTGTTTGCCATTTGCTTTCTTCTCAGTTAAAAACTCTTTTTTTCTTTGTTTTTGTTTATGTGCCTTTTCTTCTCCTATACTATTTACTTTTCACTCTATTAGTGGGTGGCTTGTTTACAACCATTGCCTTCCATGAGAATACCTGTAGTTTGAGAAATCAGCTGACCAAATTCACATAGTCTGGCAGTTTTCATTTTTGTTTATGTGAGAGCTCTGTAGACGTTGTATATCTTTAATTTCTGGGTCCAGTCTAATCCCTGGATTAAGTGGGGCCATATTACTTTTGATTTTTCCCCCAGATTGTGTTTTCTGCCAGATTTTGGAATTATTGCTTCATTCTGCTGACAAGAACAATATAGAAAATCTTAAGACATTTCTTTAGCAGGAACTCACATTCTGAGTCATTGTGTTACCAGTTTCTAACTGTTTTTCCTGTATTGTATTGCCAGGACACATAGACAGACATGCAAGGACACTAGGGTTAAAAAATCATGATATACTCAGAACATGTAGATTGTGATAGTAGGAAAAAAGGAGAATATATTTAAAGGGTTGAATATACGTTTTGCTCAGGTAAGTGTGAGGCAGTATAGAAAAGTGGTTAATAACATAGACTCTGTAATCACCCTGTCCTGGTTTGAATCTTGGCTTTAGCACTTAAGTTATTAAATATCTTTATCCCTCGGTTTCTGTGTTTATAAAATTGGGGGTTTAATAGTACATGCTTTGTAAGGATCAAATGCGTGAATATTGATACTACACTAGAAAAGAACCCACCTTGTGATTGGTAGCTATTACTGTTATTACTGTGACTACTGTGACCTGCTCCTGTCTTTAAAATTTTCCTTTTTATCATGCAAATCATATTTCTTGCATTCTAAGTTGGGAATGTCATCCTTCTTGAAAGTGACTTCAGACTCTTGGTTACAAACCCAGAATATGGGTTAAAAATGCAGATTTTAAAAAAGGAGGACTAATGTGTTTATGCTGAAATCGTTTATGAAACTTTGAAACAAAAAAAGAGCTCAGCAAAGAAGAATGGGCAAAGCTAGGCAGTGTTAGCTTAACTCGAAATATTTGAATGCCCTAAGGAAAGTGGTTTGGCCAATTCTTAGGTAAACTGAGACTATTTACAAGGTTATATTAAATCACTTTTAGTGTAAATGAACTTTCTAATCAAATATACTTCACTGGTAAAAATGAGTCAAGTTTTTCATTTTAAGAACTTCAATGCTAGTCGATAATCAGGAAAGAATCTGTAGTATGCCAATTATTTGTTAGTTTTACAAATTAATATTTTTCTTATTCTTAGAATCTCATATCTATCTGGAGTTTGTAAATCTAATAAAATTACGGCAGTATATACTCACTCTAATAATAATATTGAATGCAAACTGGTTCATATGGAGTAGAGGTGGAAGGGAGGGAGAAGCATCCAGACTACACTTGTTACTAAACTAAATGATGAAAAATACTCATTTGAGTACCCAATTTTTTGTTCCCTTAAAACATAAAAATAGCTAGTACCCCATGCCACGTACTTTTCAATTGGAATAAGAACAGTAATTTATACATTTTTAAAATTGTGTTTTATTTTCCCTAGAATATTCACAGGATCTACAAGGCTAGATGGAAATGCTATTGGTAAGTATGGGCATTTATTCTACTTCGGAACTGACTTTGGGCTAAAATAACTTTAATGTTGAGCTAAAAAAATATAAATATATTTATGTTACAGTGGATTTTGTCCGTTGGCTCTGTGCTGTGTCTATGGATGAATTACTTTCCACGACACACCCAAGAATGTTTAGTCTACAAAAAATAGTAGAAATATCATATTACAACATGGGAAGAATAAGATTGCAGTGGTCTCGAATTTGGGAAGTTATTGGAGATCATTTTAATAAGGTATTTGAATAAGTGTGGTATTTGTTTACATTTGTAGTATGTTTTTTGTTTAGAATGTCTTTGTAATCAAATTGAGCCCTTTTCCCTTCCAAGCAGTTATTTATTACTTTTTAATATTAAATTAGAAAACCCTGTGAATGGTGTTTTTCTTTTTAGAAATTATTACTCTGGGCTTTAAGAATTTGATGTAAAATGTCTGTTTTTTCTTGTTGAGAAATATTTTTAGCATATTTAATGCCTTTGTGGAAAATCTTAGGATTTACCTATCTATGCTATTCTATGCTTTTTCTAAGACAAAAAATAAAGAATTGCAGATTTTTACTGCTGATATTAATTAGCATATTTTATTTCTGTCACCATTACAGGTTGGGTGTAATCCTAATGAAGATGTAGCTATTTTTGCAGTAGACTCCTTGAGGCAGTTGTCAATGAAGTTCTTAGAGAAAGGGGAGCTTGCTAATTTCAGATTCCAGAAGGATTTCTTAAGACCTTTTGAACATATAATGAAACGGAACAGGTACTATATTTGTTGAATTGCCTAATAGTAGGAAAATCTTGTTGTTTTCCACAGCAGGGAGAAAAACAGAAGAAAGGGGGAAAAACTGATGAGTTTTATCTGTTTGCATATCTAAGCAATTATATTAATGTTTTTAGGTCTCCAACAATTCGAGATATGGTTGTACGGTGTATAGCACAGATGGTTAATTCTCAAGCTGCTAACATTCGATCTGGATGGAAGAACATATTCTCTGTATTTCATCTAGCTGCATCTGATCAAGATGAAAGCATAGTGGAACTTGCATTCCAAACAACTGGGCACATTGTCAGTGAGTATTGTCTTAGCTGTGTTCAAGTAAAAGGGAAAAAAAAGCAACCTTAATGTGTTAGGAAGATGAGTCAAGTAACAAGATTATGGCCTTTAAGTTTACCAAGTTTTGTCTACAGAACCCCAGAGTAAATAAAAATAATTAAATTACTATTATAGTTAACATTTATTGAGTATTTACCATACGGCAAATACTGTATGCACTTTTCACGTAATTTCTTTGATCTTCACAGTTAAGCATCTTTATTATCCATCCCTTTTTTCAAAATGGATTAGGAAACTCAGCCCCAGAAAGGTTAAGCAGTTTATCTAAGGTCACAGAACTAGTGATGGAGATGGTCTTGAGACCCACAGAGTATTAAAGCAAAGCCTTTATTTTTGACCAGTAAGTACATTGCACAGCCTTCTTCAAGGAGGAGTCCCATTAAGTTCAAGGGGGACTGACTGAAATACTAAGATTATAAGTTAAGCCTATATAGAAGATGACAGTGATGACCATCAACATCAAGAGTCATGGCATCATCATAGCTGTCATTTATTGCATGCTTGCTTAAGTGTTATGCTAAGCACTTCACTTACATTATTTTGTGTAGTGCTTACAGCTATCCTGTGTATATTATGATTATTTCCATTTTATATCAAGAAACCGAGATACAGAGAGGTTAAGTAATTTTGTATATTCATTCAGCCAAAGTTGAATCGGTACGTACTGTGTACCAGTCACTGTATTAGGTGCTATGTTTATAATGTAAACAAAACAGACAAGTTTTACTATTCTCACCACTCAGGGCAGTCATGTTAAGTGGGAAAGATAGTCTTGAACTTCATATCTGTTGGATGTCAGCCTTTAATAACCTTTAAGGAAGTGCATTACATCTAGATGTTGGTGTATTTTTGGTACAGCTAAGAATAATTGAAAAATTATGGTAATATGTATTTTTCTCTATTTTAGCCCTTGTATTTGAAAAACACTTTCCAGCGACCATTGATTCTTTCCAGGATGCCGTGAAGTGTTTGTCTGAATTTGCGTGCAATGCAGCTTTCCCAGACACAAGTATGGAAGCAATTCGACTTATTCGCCATTGTGCAAAATATGTGTCTGATAGACCTCAGGTATAGCGTCATTTAGTAAACAAAATTTTGCAGAGTATTCTTTCCAATTTGAAATCTTAAGTTTGTTTGGGAATTGAGGGTATATGAAGCATTTATTTTTCAGTAATTCGAAAAATAATCTGAGCAGCCTGATTCCGAGTTAGGATGGTTAGTGATTATAACTAACCATTATTGAAAGTGTTGGGTATTTTTCTGAGTGGTTTTCATTAAATTGTATTAACTTGTTTAATCTTCTAATGACTTTATGGGATAGATAGTGTTATAGCCCCATACGGATAAAGAAACTGAGGGAGGCACAGAGAAGTTTCAAAATGTGCCCATAGTTTCAGGGCTAGTAAAGTAGAGCTAGGGTTTGAGCCCCAGCCTGTGTTTGTAACCATTCCCTACAGTGCATCTTGTCTGTCTGTGCTGTGTAATACTGAAGCTGACTGACTATGGATGAGAATAGGCTTAAGCTCTGAAGTAAAAGGTGGAATTGAAAATCTAGCTGCCATATTTAACTTGCATATTTAAATCTGTCTTTGTAACTATCATAAGAGAAAGTGATGTATCGTAGATTTGGTAATAAGATTTTATTCCATACTAACATGGACCGATCAGGTGCTTGGTACGTTTCAGATATGTCAACTCATTTTACCTTTATACTTCCCCAGTGTGGTTAATGTGGCTGTGTGGTATCATAACCATTTAAGTGATAAAAATGGAAACCTGAATTAACCTGGGTAATGATGCAGAAAACTGGTGACAGTTGAAAGTGAAGCTAACTTTTGGATGCTAGTCCAGAGCTCTTTATAGGCAGTTATATTTTGCCTGCTTCAGTGGCACGTATACTAAAATTGTCGGCAGTTATAGTGCCCATTTTTTATAAATTATTGTGTGTTAAATTGCTCACTGGTTATTTGTGAAGCATTTAAATTATTTTTTGAGAAGTTAATATATTAAATGTATAGGTGTTATGTTTTGCCTTTAATAACCCTACCTTTTTTCTTGAAGGCTTTCAAGGAATACACAAGCGATGATATGAACGTGGCACCTGAAGACAGGGTGTGGGTGAGAGGATGGTTCCCAATTCTCTTTGAGTTATCCTGTATCATCAATAGATGCAAATTAGATGTAAGAACCAGGTAACAATCTATATTTGTAATTAAAATTTTGAATTTATTTTGACTTTAATCACATAACTCTTCTTTATAAACACAGTCTCACAGTTAAAGACCATAAAATCAAGTGTTTTGTCAAATATATTAGTAGATAGGCATATTTTAAAATATGTTCATATTATTTTAAAATGTTAACTAGAGCAAAATAAAAATGGAAATACTACGTTGTTTTTAAAATATTTGATTATAGCCTCCTTTTGATTTTAGCTTCTAAGTTAATTTGATCCTTTAAACATTCTGTCTTTTCATATATTTGTTTCCAATAATAAATTGAAGTTAGTGGCAAAATTTATTTTATTTCCTGATGAACGATAGAAGAATTTTTAAATGCACATCCTTGGTGAGTTTTAGGTGAAGAACCATTTCTTTTTGTAACCTGATCAGTAACATAGTTTGGAATAATATAGAACTATTCAAATAGAACTCTTTCAAAAGTATATTGCCAATAAAAGATCATTATGAACATATAGTCAATCTGTAAAGGAACTATTCTGGGTATTATGTGACTGGCCAAGTGCTTAACACACTGTTCTTAGGTCACAGCTCACAGGACTCCCATAGTAGTTTTTTTTTGTTTTGTTTTGTTTTTTTTTTTTTGTGAGACGGAGTCTCGCTCTGCTGCCCAGGCTGGAGTGCAGTGACTGGATCTCAGCTCACTGCAAGCTCCGCCTCCCGGGTTCATGCCATTCTCCTGCCTCAGCCTCCCGAGTAGCTGGGACTACAGGCGCCCGCCACCTCGCCTGGCTAGTTTTTCGTATTTTTCAGTAGAGACGGGGTTTCACCGTGTTAGCCAGGATGGTCTTGATCTCCTGACCTCACGATCCGCCCGTCTCGGCCTCCCAAAGTGCTGGGATTACAGGCTTGAGCCACCGCGCCCGGCCCCATAGTAGTTTTTTACCCTGTACTTTGCCACATTGAAATGGCCAGCTTGTGTGTCCTAATATCTGTCAACCTCTAAACGCACCGTGAGTTCAATTTTATGGTAAACAAAATCTTTTAGGAATCTTCCCTTCTCATTTGGAAGAATCTTCTGTTATTTGGATGTGTAACTTTATTGAATTTTTTGAATTTCTAAAGGTAGCACAGAATGAATCTCTTCTTTTTCACCTTATGCCAGAACCACACCCATGCCCCACCAAGGTTAAATTTGACTTACATCTCAAGAAATTTTTCATTTTTATAGTATTATTTGTTACAACAGAAATTCTTATGAAATAGATAATCCAAAATAGGACTTAACCCTTAGGAATTTTAATTATGAGAGCACTATAGAAAAAGAGTTTATTTTATATTTAGACACAGTGGATTGTTTATCAGTGGGCCCGTTAGGAAATTGTTGAAATTCAAGATAGCCCCATTTCAGTTGTCCAGCTGCCTCAGTGGAGCGGCTAACATATCATGACTAGCAGGTCATGAAAACTCAGCACCCTCTCCCCTCACCCTTTATTTATTTGTAGAAGTCTGTTTGATGGAGGATCCACCTGCTTTCTTACCCTTCTGTTGCTTGGCACTGTGATACCTTATTTCTCACCATATTCCATGTTCAGATTATGGGTAGATACTAGTTGTTAAAGATGTTGTGTGTGTTCTAGTTAGTAAAGGAGAGGGAAAAGATCAGTAAACTTTGTTCAGTGATGGCCTTTGATTTTCCTACCTCATCCCAGGATATGTATGGCCTGCTATTTAGCTTCCATTTTAAAATGTGGGCCGGATGCTGTGGCTCACATCTGTAATCCCAGCACTTTGGGAGGTCAAAGTGGGAGGACTGTTTGAAACCAACCTAGGCAACATAGTGAGACCCCATCTCTTTGAACAAAAAGTTAACTAGGCATAGTAGGCATCCCTCTAGTTCCTGCTGCTCATGAGGCTGAGGCAGGATTCCCTAAGCACAGGAAGTTGGGGCTGTGGTGAGCCCTGATCACACCACTGTACTCCAGCCTAGGCAACAAGTTGAGACTCTCTGTCTTTAACAACAACAAATAGTGCAGCACTATAATTGGTATAACACTGTGTGGAAAGAACTTCTCGTGTGCATTCTTATTTGATTCTTCCAAAATTCTCCAGATTTGGGGATAAATACCGAAAATTAAAGTCCCAGATGTAGTCAGGCATCATTTAATGACAGGGATATGTTCTGTACAATGCATTACTAGGCAATTTCAACATTGTGTGAACATCATAGCATGTACTTACACAAATCTAGATGGCATAGCCTGTTGCTCCATGGGTACAACTTGCACAGCATGTTACTGTACTGTAGGCAGCTGTTAATACAGTGGCGTTTGTGTATCTAAACATATCTAAACAGGCTGGGTGCAGTGGCTCACGCCTGTAATCCCAGCATTTTGGGAGGCCAAGGTGGGCAGATCACCTGATGTCAGGAGTTCGAGACCAGCCTGGCCAACATGGTGAAACCCCACCTCTACTAAAAACATAAAAATTTGACCAGGCATGGTGACTCATGCCTATAATCCCAGCATTTTGGGAGGCCCAGGTGGGCGGATCATCTGAGGTCAGGAGTTCGAGACCAGCCTGGACGACATGGTGAAACCCCTTCTCTACTAAAAATACAAAAATTAGCTGGGTGTGGTGGTGCGCACCTGTAATCGCAGCTACTCAGGAGGCTGAGGCAGGAGAATCGCTTGAACCTGGGAGGCAGAGGTTGCAGTGAGCTGAGAGTGCCACCTCACTCCAGCCCAGGCAACAGAGTGAGACTCTGTCTCAAAAATAAAAATTAAAAAATACAAATACAAAAATTAGCTGGGTGTGGTGGCACACGCCTGTAATCCCAGCTACTCGGGAAGGTAAGGCATGAGAGTTGCTTGAACCCGAGAGGCGGAGGTTGCAGTGAGCCAAGATGGCACCACTGCACTCCAGCCAGGGTGACAGTAAGAGACTCTGTCTCAGATAAAAAAAATTCTATGTGTATATATATACATAGAAATGGTACAGTAAAACCATGATATAAAAGATAAAACCTGTATAGGGCACTTACCATGAATGGAACTCACTGGACTGGAAATTGTTCTGGGTGAGTCAGTGAGTGAGTGGGGAGTGAACGCAAAGGAGGCCTAGGACATTACTATGCACTACTGTAGACTTTATAAACACTGTAAACTTAGGCTACTCTAAATTTATGAAAAGATGTTTTTCTCCAGTAAAAAACTAACCATAGCTTACTGTAAGTTTTTTGCTTTATAATTTTTAAAATTTTAAAAAACATGACTCTTATATTAACATTTAGCTTAAAACACATTGTACAGCTGTACAAAAATATTTTCTTTATATCTTTATTCTATAAGCTTTTTTCTATTTCTATTTTTATTTTTTACTTTTTAGACTTTTTTTGTTAAAAACTAAGACATAGACACACACATTAACCTAGGCCTATACAGAGTCAGGATCATCAGTGTCACTGTCTTTCATCCCCACGTCTTACCCCACTGGAAGATGTGTTACTTCAGGGGAAGTAACACATAAGGAGCCGTCATCTCCTATGATAACAATGACTTCTTCCAGAATACCTACTGAAGTACCTGCCTGAGGCTGTTTTCCAATTAACTTTTTAAAAATGTGTAAGTACAAGGAGTACACTTGCAAATAATGATGAGAGGTGCAGTAAATTAATCATTAACAAAATTGTTTATCATTATATGACTGGCAGTGCAGTAGGTTTGTTTACACCAATATCACCATAAACATGTGAGTAAAGTGTTGCCCTACGATCAATGAAAGCTACAACTACAATGTCACAAGACAATTGGAACTTTACAGCTCTATTATAATCTTAGGGGACCACTGGCTTATGTGCAGTTCATTGTTGACTGAAATGTCCTTATGTGGCACATGACTGTATTATTTTTCCCTACACCAACTATTTAAGTATTGCTTAAAAAAAAAAAAAAAAGACATTTTCCACATTAAAAATCCTTGGAAACAATTGATCTCTGTGTTTACTTTGGGCCCTGGAAAAAACAGGATTGCCCATATCCACTTACTCCCAGCCATGAGAGGCAGCATCCTGTTACTTGGAGTGGGAGGGCATCGATACAGAGCTCAGCAGATGGAGGATGAGGGAGCCTTGTTCCATCGCAAGGAGGGAACTGTGGGTTTAGCATCAGTGATGGAACTCTGACAGGCGTCCTCTGTGGAAGAGTTTCTTTCCCAGGAGTTTCTTTACTATGGTTTCTTTACCATTGCTAGTATTACATATTAGATATCTTAGGGATCCAATAGACCAGTGTGAATTTACTGTAGGTCTGAAGTATTGTAATGTTATTTTACACATTCATTTAACAAAAACTTGTTGAGAACCTACTATGTATGAGCCATCTACTAGGTTTGGGGATAGCATAACAGCAAATGAGTTCAGCCCTATTCCAGTCCTTATGAGAGCCTTTCAAAGAAAATTTTGTTCTGTTTTACTCTCAAACTTTTGGAAACATAAGCCATTTCTAAATTGGAGGATGCCTGTGTTTTCCCAGAAAAAGCAACAAATAGAGAAAAGATTAAAGTTTCTAATGGTTACATAAAAGTATTATTTCAAGAAACAGGAAGGAATGAAGAAGAAAGTTTTGAGTTTCAGTTTTAACACTTACACAAAAGCTACTCAATGTGATGCTAAGCAATTTATTTAGCAAATATTTATTGTTTGCCTTCCAGGCAATGAGCACTGCTGTGTGCCTGGGATATAGCAAGAAATGAAACACAGAAAGACCCCTTAGTGGATTTGTTTTGTAAATCCTTTTGTTTGGGGATGTTGCATGAATAAGGCTTCTAGTATTGGGTGAAAATCCCCATAGTTCTTTGAAAAAGATTTTCCAAAATCTAACTTTTGTTTTGTTCTTAGACTGCTATATATGTATTTTCTTTTTTGGCTGTAGAACCACAAAATTAATATTCACTCAAACAATTATCATTTTCAATCTGTAATTCCATTTACAGTTTTTAAATGCTGCAATGGTGAGGTAAGAGTAAAGGAAAAGTACAATTAAAAAGTTTACGGCCAAGACCTTTGGCGATTTTTTTTTCCTGAATGATATATCTTAAAGGAACCTGTTGTTCTTACAACTTAACTTTTTTAAAACCCAGTGTCGTGTGTTAATTTCAGACTAGTTTTAAGCTTTCTGGTTTTAGTAGCTTTGTGAACTATAAAAACTATTTTAGGAGGAGTATGCTTTTTTGTATTATAGCTTTCTAATTGTGTTTTGTCATTTTAGGGGTTTAACAGTAATGTTTGAAATAATGAAAACATATGGCCACACTTATGAGAAACACTGGTGGCAGGATTTATTTAGAATTGTTTTCCGAATCTTTGACAATATGAAATTGCCAGAACAACAGACAGAGGTAAGAGGATACACAATTTTCATTTAGCTTAGTCGAGTTAAAAGATCCTCAGTATTATCATCAATACATTTTAGTGTTTCAAATTAAGTACAGAAGAGAATTCCTAGAAAATTTTTCTTTAAGGCATGAGAATATAATACTATGTCTTTATAAATAAGAACACTGGCTGGGCACAGTGGCTCACGCCTGTAATCCCAGCACTTTGGAAGGCCAAGGCGTGTGGATCGTCTGAGGTCAGGAGTTTGAGACCAGCCTCACCAACATGGTGAAACCCCATCTCTACTAAAAATACAAAAATTATCCAGGTGTGGTGGCAGGTGCCTGTAGTCCCAGCTACTTGGGAGGCTGAGGCAGGAGAATCGTTTGAACCCGGGAGGTGGAGGTTGCCATGAGCTGAGATTGTGCCACTGCACTGCAGCCTGGGTGACCAGCGAAACTCCGTCTCAAAAAAAAAAAAAAGAATGCTATGTGGGGGATAGAACTGAATTAATGAATTGATTTTTTTGTTCTGTTTTGTTTTTAGTGTTTTTCTGACTTTTCCATTTCTTTTCCTCGTTTCGACAGTCAAAACTATAAAACATCAGTAACTTTCTTTCTTTTTTTTTTTTTTTTTGAGACGGAGTTTTGCTCTGTCGCCCAGGCTGGAGTGCTGTGGCCAGATCTCAGCTCACTGCAAGCTCCGCCTCCCGGGTTTACGCCATTCTCCTGCCTCAGCCTCTCGAGTAGCTGGGACCACAGACGCCCGCCACCTCGCTCGGCTAGTTTTTTGTATTTTTTAGTAGAGACGGGGTTTCACCGTGTTAGCCAGGATGGTCTCCATCTCCTGACCTCGTGATCCGCCCGTCTCGGTCTCCCAAAGTGCTGGGATTACAGGCTTGAGCCACCGCGCCTGGCCAATAACTTTCTTTAGTATTATATAGTGACTTCTTTTTTATGTAAAAAGTAAGGAATACAAAGTAAATTTTATTTATTTCGACATATTTTACTATGAACCAGTTACAATATACATTTTAGGAAACGTGTCAAGAGAGCTTCATATTTTCCCCTTTTGTTCCATACAGCAATGTTAAATGCAGACTTCTGTGATTATTTTTTATGGGTTTGAAAAAATAAATTACACTTATTTTGTATAGCCCTTTTTTTATGGTGTTTTCAGATAACCCATACTTCAGGAAAGTCATTTTTATTTTAAACCTATGCTAACCCCATTTGGACAAATTCTTACCTCCTTATTTCCCTTTCATATTCTGTCATGGTCTAGAGCAAGGCTGGCTGTTGCTATTCATGCACTTTGAAAAGTCATAATGTTAATATCAAGATGATACGGTGATGGTTTTTTTTAATAAAACAAATAGTGCCAAAAATAGTTAAATTATTGTATGCATAGATGGTTATGGGATAATGAGGAGCAATAGATACCAGATTTTAAGTTAAGGTGAATGTAACGTTCTAGAGGGAATTCAGTGGTCTAAAAGGAACACTGACAGCCTTACATTTTAAATATGAAAACATTTATATATATATATATGTGTATATATATATGTATATCTTTTTAAATCATAGTAGTTGATTAATGGCATGATGTTCATTAATGACTTTTTTCCCCAGAAAGCTGAATGGATGACAACAACTTGCAATCATGCACTTTATGCAATCTGTGATGTATTCACTCAGTATTTAGAAGTACTCAGTGATGTACTTTTGGATGATATTTTTGCTCAGCTCTACTGGTGTGTGCAGCAAGGTAGGTCTGTACCAGATATGTGACACAAAGTGTTAAATGTGACCCTGGTAATATATAAATGAATTGCTCTTTTCTTTCCTAGACAATGAGCAGTTAGCACGATCTGGTACAAACTGTTTAGAGAATGTTGTTATTCTGAATGGTGAAAAATTTACCCTAGAAATCTGGGATAAAACTTGCAACTGCACACTGGATATCTTCAAAACCACAATCCCACATGCGTAAGAAGATTTTATACAACTTTACATTTATATTTGTATATTGAATGAGTTGGAGAGTGACTAGTGATTAAAAGTTTGATAGTAACTACTGATTTCTCGTAACAGAAATCCTTTTAAGCTTGTCTTACTCTTATATGGATTTAGATTTATTACAAACCAAACTGCTATAAACTATAACAAATACATGAATTAAACTATTTGTAAACCAAAACCTTTAGTCTGGTTATCCAAAATTTGGGACATAGTGAAGTGATTCCGCTGACTTTTATAAGATTTTATTTATTCAGATCAAACCAAGCAGTGGTTTTGAATTGGGAAAAAAAAAATCTCAGCCTGTTTCTGTTACTGATCTTTTAATAATCTAAGGAAAATGTATTTACACATATTTCATATTTTATAACAGCTTGTCATTTTTCTCTAAGGGATGAGTGTGAAATGGAATTATAGTGAGGCAGGGTTTTTTTTTTTTTTTGTTTTGAGATGGAGTTTCATTCTTGTTTCCCAGACTGGGGTGCAATGGCGTGATCTCAGCTTACCACACCTCCGCCTTTGGGTTCAAGCGATTCTCCTGCCTCAGTCTCCCCAGGTAGCTGGGATTACAGGCATACACCACCATGCCCGGCTAATTTTGTATTTTTAGTAGAGATGGGGTTTCTCCACGTTGGTCAGGTGGTCTCGAACTCCCAACTTCAGGTGATCCACCCACCTCGGCCTCCCAGAGTGCTGGGATTACAGGCGTGAGCCACCACACCTGGCCAGTTTTATGAAATTTTTTTTTTGAGAAGTCTCTTACTTTGGAAAATATTTGATATTAATACTTAGGGAAAGGAGGTTTAAAATTTTTAAAACTTACCAGAAAGTGTTTTTTTTAATGTAAAACTGGTTACTATGTTACCCTTTTAATTATATTAAATGCCACTTAATTTTTTTCTAAAAGTACATGTTTAAACTTTTTACTAGATGTTTTTTAGGAAATTGCTCTTAGCAGTAGTCAAAGATGGACTGTGTAGTTGGTATGTTCTTGTTACTTTTTTGGGCCCATTTCAAAATATGCTGGATGTGGCATGTGGCACAGCCCTCTAGTGATTGATGTGGTTTTGGTATCTTAAAGGCTCTTGACCTGGCGGCCCACTTCTGGAGAAACTGCCCCCCCACCTCCATCTCCTGTAAGTGAAAAGCCATTGGTAAGTTTTAATCAGTAAAGTATATTGAAATTAGTTATTTGTGATGAGTAATTTTATTATGGGTCAGAGTCTTACATGTAAGTGTCTCAATCCATTCCTACTATTAAAAAAATATCTGAAACTAGATTACTTATAAATAGAAATTTATTTTTTCACAATTACGAAGGTTGGGAATTGTACGATCAGGTGTCTGGTGAGAGCTGCTCTCTGCTTCCAAGATGGCACCTCGTTGCTGCATTCTCACATGGTAGAAGAAGGAGGGACAGAAAGGGGCCTAGATAGTTCCCTCCAGCCCTTTTTTAAGGCACTAATTCTCATGGCCTACTCCCCTCCTAAAATCTCTACCTCTTGATACTGTTGCATTGGGGATTCAGTTTCATTATGAATTTAGGAGGGAACACAAACATTCATATCATTGCGATGCATTCGTCTCTTTTAAGAAGATGGTATAAATTTGCTGTCCAGAATTGTGAAGTTAGTTCTGTGGTCAGTTTCACAGACAATTAATATGTGTCTCTGTTAAGTGCCATGAAGGGAGTATTTTAAATTATTTTTAAATATAGGACATCGAGTAAAATGATTTTTTAAGGGTTGCGAGAGAAAGATACCATATTACATAGCTATCTCCATGCAAAGCTGAAGATATTGTTGGATAGTATTTAAACTTTTTATTTTTATATAATTTCACCTTATAGAAAAGTAACGCAAAACAGTACAAAGAATTCTAATATTCACTTCACCCAGTGTATTGGTTTCCTAGGTCTACCATAAAAAATTACCACAAACTTGGTGGCTTAAAACTATAGAAACCTACTGTCTCATGGTTCTAAAGACCACAGGTCCTAAATCAAGGAGTTAGCAGGGCCACATTCCCTCCAAAGGCTCTAAAGGAAAATCCTTACTAGCTTCTTCCAGCTTCTGGTGGCTGTTGACAACCTTTGGCATTATTTGGCTTGTTCACATATCACTCCAATCTTTGCCACCATCTATCCATAGTCTTCTTCACTGTGTGTGAATTAAATCTCTACCTCTCCTTTTTGTTTTATGAAGACGTTAGTCATTGGATTTAGGGTTTACCTGAAATCCAGGATGATCTCATCTCAAGATCCTTAATTACATCTGAAAAGACCTTATTTCCAAGTAAGGTAACATTTGCAGGTATCAGGGGTCAGAACTTAGACATACCTTTTAGGGGCCAATATTCATCCTACTGTGGTCTACCCATTGACACCTAAAAATTCATGTCCATCCCATCGGCAAAAGATGGTCACCCCATTCTAAGGTCCCCAAAAGTCTAAACTCATTACAGCATCAATACTGTGTCCAAAATCCCATATAAATACCATCGGAAGTCCCTAATCTGATCATCTCAGACATCTACATTAAGGATGGATGACACTCTTGAGTATGATCTATTCTGGGGCAGAATTCATCTCCATCTGTGGACCTGTAAACCTAGAAAATAGGTAAAGTAACTTTTAAAATACAGTAGTGGGACAAGCATAAGATAGACATTCTCATTGCAAAAAGGAGAAATTGGAAGGAACAAAGGATCACCAGTCCTAAGCAAGGTTGAAACTTAGCAGGGACAATTCTGTTGAGTTTTAAAGCCTGAGAATAATGCTGTGTGGCTTAATATTCTGCCTTCTGGGGCCATGGCTTACTTCTTTGGGCCTGAGCCCTACACTATCGGTGGTTGTACTTTTTCTTAAAGGTTAGCACGTTTGCAGCTCTGTTGACCCATTTTCTGCCTGTAGAATCCTAGAAGTCAGCCTCCCTTCCTTTTATTGTTTCTGTCCCTTTCATTCTAGGCTGGCCATATGTCTGCTGGTATATCATTCTCAAAATCCTTGTGGGTCTTCTGTATGCGTTAAGAGAAACCATGCCATTAAACAAGAGGGTGATCCATACATCTTTCTGGATAGTCCTGTTATGTTCCTGGCTTCTGCTGAGATGGTTGATTGGATCCACTAGATATATACCTAATCTCTGGCAAAAAGTCGTCCAGCTATTATAGCCTTGGCCTTCTCTCCAAAGCATGCTTTCCTAACAATTCATTTCCTAATTGTAACATCCTTTTCCATGTGGATAGGCCAAGATCCTCTCAAATCATCAAGTGGCAGTTTCTTTTTGCTTAACAGTTCTTTCATCAATATATCTTATTCTTGCATTGTACTATAAACAGCAAGGACAAACCAGGCCACGCCTTCAACACTTTGCTTGGAACTCTCCACTACATGTCATCACTTAGAATTCTGCTTTCCACCCAACAATTCAGCCAGGCTTTCTGCCACTTTACAACAAGGATCACCTTTCTATTAGTATCTAATCCCATGTGCTTGATTTCCTTCTAAGACCTCACCAGAAGCACCTTTTAACATTCTTATTTGTACCAATAATCTGTTTGATGGCCATACATGTCTTCTCTAAGATGGTAGAAGCTTTCTCTCACACATTGCACTCCCTTGTGGGTCCTCACCAGAACCACATTTGACATCCATATTTCTACCAACAGTCTCTTCAGGGCAATCTAGGTGTTTTCTATCATGTGTCTCAGAACTCTTCCAGCTTCTACCATTCCCCAGTTCCAAAGCCACTTCCACATTTTTAGGTGTTTGTTACAGCCACATTCCATTTCATAGTATCAAAATCTTTATCAGGGCCAGAGAAACAAAACCAACAGTAGAGATACATATAGATAGATTTAAGGAACTGGCTTATGTGATTGTGGAGGCTGGCAGGTTTGAAATTTTGTAGGACAGGCAGGCAGGCTGGAAAGCCTTGGGCAGGTGCTGAAGCTGCAGTTCACAGGCGGAATTTCTTCCCCAGGAAAACCTATTTTGCTCAGTTTTGAAGGCCTTCAACTTATTGGATAAGGACCATCTAGATTATTGAAGATAATATCCTTAAAGTGAACTGACTATAGATGTTAACCACATCTATAAGATACCTTCAGCTCAACACCTGGAATAGTGTTTAATTGAATTAATTGTTACTCATTTGACTTAAGTATCTGGCTTCAGTACATAGGATATTGGTATTGTGTCCTAGCCAAATTGACACAAAAGTAATCATTACACCAAGTTTCTCCAAATGTTATTTTACATTTGTTTTTACCAACTCCTGCTTTCCTCCCTCTTTTTATCTTGCTACCCCGCCTCCCACACACACACAATTTTCTGAAAATTTTCCGCCTCCACACACACACAATTTTCTGAAAGTAATTTGTAAATATAATGCCTACTTATCCCTGACAATCAAAAAATTATCCTTGAAACAATAATCTACAGGTCTTTTCAAATTTGTACTGTTCTCCCAATAATACCTTTGAATTTTAAAGCCAGGAGGCTGTAAAGTAACAAACTAATGCCCACTGACCAGATTTGTTCCTCACAACTTTTAACTTTCTTAACAAAATTGTCAACAGTTAAAACAGATTTCACAGAAAAGTACCATTCTGAATTGCCCTTGAGAACTGTGACGTCTATACTGGGCCCGTGTTGCTCCATGACTCTGTTGTGCTGACGTCCGTTCAGCACAGACCCGGTTATTACTTAGGACGTCCCAAAAATTCTCCTCATTTACATTGGTTAGTGAGAAAAATTGAGAAAACAATATACCTAACATCCAAAAATTCCTCTAAAACAGAGCAAGGTTTTTAAATCCCTAATTTTGTGACCTAGTTTTTGTGCAGGTTTAGTTTTCTGGAGAGAACATTTTAGAAATCATCAGACTGTTCAAGAGGGCCAGTGACCAAAAATATTTAAAAACTAGTGCTTTCATTTATCTTCAGTAAGATAATACATTTTTAATTCTGAGAACTGAGTCATTTCTTCCTTAAAATACAGAAGTCCAAGCTAACGTATTGTTCTGATTATTACTATTTCTGGTAACACAGGCCCATCTTCCTTTCACACAGCAGGTAAGGTTGCTGCAGGCTGGGACTGTTATGTCAGAACAACAAGAGCTAAGCACTCCTCCTGAAACCAGGTTCTCTCATCTCTTGAGTATGCTGTACCTTTATAATGAAAGAAAGCTTGAGGAGTGGTAGGGTCAGCTGCCATTTATTGCCCAACACTGTGCTGCTAGTGTTTTGGATTTATTATCTCTAGTTCTTAACAACCTGCAAGGAAAGTATGTCATTTCTTTTTAGATCAGAAAACCTCACCTCAGGAAATTAATCATTTTTCCAAGGTTACACTCTTAATAATACTGGAACCTGTGGCTGGGCGTGGTGGCTCACGCCTGTAATCCCAACACTTTGGGAGGCCGAGGCGGGCAGATCGCCTGAGGTTGGGAGTTGGAGACCAGCATGACCAACATGGTGAAACCCCCTCTCTACTAAAAATACAAAAAGTAGCTGGGCATGGTGGCGCATACCTATAATCCCAGCTACTGGGGAGGTTGAGGCAGGAGAATCGCTTGAACCCAGGAGGTAGAGGTCGCGGCGATTCGAGATTGCGTCATTGCACTCCAGCCTGGGCAACAGGAGCGAAACTCCTATCTCAGAAAAGTAAATAAATATTACTGGAGCCTGATTCTTGTGTAGGTCTGTTGGACTCCAGGGTCCAGTTTCTCTTCATGGTACGACGCTCCTAGATAGTCACCTTCACATTGACCTTTCCAGTCCCTGGGTCCATGGGTGACAGAAGATCCTTTTCTAAATTTACCCCTGCAAAAAGTGTCTGTTTAGATTTTATGAACACTTGTGGGTGTTGCTGACCAGTTTCTCTACACTTTGAAGTTTTGTATTTATATCTGTTGCTGTTGGATGGTTTAAGACCTGAGCCCAATGAGGGTCAGAAAGTCAACTTTTCTGTATGTACAGGTAATTTTAAATAATTTTCTCATTGTGTTGTAACTGTAATGTAATCATTTTCATAGGGACATAAGTTTTTAAAATAGCATTTTAGAAAATATTTTCACACATAAACTTTATTAACCATACTTATAATGATTTTTTTTATTTATTAGGATACAATATCACAGAAGTCTGTAGATATTCATGATTCTGTTCAACCAAGGTCTGTGGATAACAGACCGCAAGCACCACTGGTTTCTGCCTCTGCTGTTAATGAAGAAGTCAGCAAAATTAAATCTACAGCAAGTGAGTTATTTCTCTAAATAAAAATAAATTTGTGTTTTATGTAGGAAAGGGTTAACATTTTTGGTTTTTTATCATTAACAAACATATACTATAATTGTGTCATTACTTCTTTTTTTTTATGTATTTATTTGTGAGACAGAGTCTCACTCTGTCGCCCAGTCTGGAGTGCAGTGGCGCCATCACAGCTCACTGCAAGCTCCGCCTCCCAGGTTTAAGTGATTCTTCTGCCTCAGCCTCCTCTGAGTAGCTGGGACCAAGGCACGCACCACCACGCCCGGCTAATTTTTGTATTTTTAGTAGAGACGGGGTTTCACCATATTGGCCAGGCTGGTCTTGAACTCCTGACCTTGTGATCTGCCCACCTCGGCCTCCCAAAGTGCTGGGATTACAGATGTAAGCCACCGTGCCTGACCACTTTTTTTTTTTTTTTTTTGAAACGGAGTCTCACCCTGTCGCCTAAGCTGGAGTGCAGTGGTGCTCACTGCAACCTCTGCCTCCCAGGTTCAAACAATTCTCCTGCCTCAGCCTCCTGAGTAGCTGGGATTACAGGTGCCGGCCATCACCCCCAGCTAATTTTTGTAGATTTAGTAGAGACGGGGTTTCACCATGTTGGCAAGGCTGGTCTCGAACTCCTGACCTCGTGATCCACCCGCCTCAGCCTCCCAAAGTGCTGGGATTACAGGCGTGAGCCACCACGCCTGGCCGTGTCATCACTTCTTTACTGTGCTTACCCTAATTTGGACATCCTCTGATAGATGGATGCCCTCTGGCAGAAGGTCAAGAACTCTGCTGATACCTGAAATGTCCGCTTTTTCCACCAACGAGCACCTGAGTCTTCTCTCTCCACCCCCTTCTGCATGCCAACCAACCTTATGTTCTGTCTGTAGAAGTAGGGCCTAACATGCCTTCCTCTACCCATCTGCAAGGGGAAGTAGTGAGGGACTGTTGCTTTCTAAGCAGGAGCACCCAACTTGTTTTCGTTGTTGTTGTTGTTGTTTTTCCAGACAGAGTCTTACTCTGTCACCCACACTGGAGTGTGATCTCAGTTCACTGCAACCTCAACCTCCTAGGCTCGAGCGAGCCTCTTGAGTAACTGGGACTACAGGCACGCCTCATCATGCCCAGCTTATTTTTTATATTTTTTTGTAGGGACAAGGTTTTGCCATGTTGCCCAGGCTGGTCTTGAACTCCTGAGCTCAGGCCATCTGCCTGCCTCAGCTTCCCAACATGCTGGGATTACAGGCTTGTGCCACAGCATCTGGCCAGTAGCACCCTACTTTTTTTTTTGTTGTTGTTGTTTTGAGACAGAGTCTCACTCTGTCGCCCAGGCTGGAGTGTAGTGGTGCAATCTCGGCTCACTGCAAGCTCCACCTCCCGGGTTCATGCCATTCTCCTACCTCAGCCTCCCGAGTAGCTGGAACTACAGGTGCCCGCCACCACGCCCGACTAATTTGTTTTTTATTTTTTGGTAGAGACAGGGTTTCACCATGTTAGCCAGGATGGTCTCGATCTCCTGACCTCGTGATCCACCTGCCTTGGCCTCCCAAAGTGCTGGGATTACAGGCATGAGCCACCGTTCCCGGCAGGAGCACCCTACTTTTTAAGGAGCAACCCTTTTCTCCACAATGCTCCCTAACCTTAGTCGGCCTGTGCCAATTTCCCTCACTGCTGCCCACACCCCTGTCTCCATACAGGGATCCCCAGGTCACCTGTATTCCTCCCCTCACCTTTTCACAAAAAAGAGGAACCCTTTACTTTTTTACTGGATTGATTCGGTTTCATTTGCTGAAGGAAAATTATAACACCTAGAAAAGACCACAGCCTCCTTAGAGGAGAACAGGACAGCTTTGAGAACTTTTTAAAACCTGAGGTGAAATTTATATAACAAATAACAATATACAAGTGAATAATTCAGTGGTATTAAGTACATTCACAGCCACCACCTCTATCTAGATCCAAAGCATTTTCATCACTCCTAAAGGGAGCCCCCCCGCCCCATAACTGTTACACAACCACTCCCTCTTCTCCCCTTCCCCAGCCCCTGGCAGCCACTAATTACCTGTGTTTGTGAATTGCCTATTCTGCATATTTCATATAAAAAATGGAATCATACAAAATATAACCTTTTGTGTCTGTCTTCTCTCACAATGTTTTCAAGACTCATCATGTTGTAGCATGAATCAATAATTCATTCCTTTTTATTACTAAGTAATAGTCCACCGAATGTATAGACTACATTTTGTTTATCCATTTGTCTGATGATGGATGTTTGTATTTGTTTCACCTGCAGTTGTCATGAATAGTGCTGCTGCAAACTGTTGTGTACAAATATCATTTGAATACCTGTTTTCAGTTCTTTTGCGTTATCTGCCTAGGAGTGGAATTGCTAGCTTGTAGGGTAATTCTATGTTTAACTTCTTGAGGAAACACCAAGTAATTTTCTATAGCCAGTGGCTGCACCATTTTACATTCCCTCTAGCAATTCCAGGTTTTCCACATCTTTGCCAATGCCTTTTTTGTTGTTGTTAAATGATAACCATTCTAGTGGGTGAGCAGTTGTACCTCATTGTGGTTTTGACTGGCATTTTCGTAATGATTAGTGATGTTAAGCATCTTTTCATATGCTTGTTGGCCATTTGTATATCTTATTTGGAGAAATTTGTATTCATGTCCTTTGCCTGTTTTTAAATTTTGATGAAGTCCAATTTTTGTTTTCTTTTGTTATGCCTTTGGTATCATTGTCAAAATCCAAGGTCATCAGCATTTCCCGCCAATGTTGTCTTCTATGAAGTTTTTTTTTTTTTTTTTTTTTTGAGACGGAGTCTCTGTCACTCAGGCTGGAGTACAGTGGTGCGATCTGGGCTCACTGCAACTTCCACCTCCTGGATTCAAGCGATTCTCCTGCCTCAGCCTCCTGAGTGGCTGGGATTACAGGCACGGGCCACCACACCTGGCTAATTTTTGGATTTTTAGTAGAGATGGGGTTTTGCCATGTTGGCCAGGCTGGTCTCGAACTCTGGACCTCAAGTGATCCACCTGCCCAGCCTCCCAAAGTGCTGGGATTAGAGGCGTGAGCCACTGTGCCTGGCCTATGAAGTTTTATTCTTTTAGCTCTTTGATTTAGGTCGTTGATCCATTTTGATTTAATTTTATTCAGGGAATTTTTTAATCCTAGGTGCTTACAGTTCTTGAGAGAAGACAGGCTTTATTATCATATCCTACTTGAAAGGAGCTTCTATCTTCAGTCACTGTATTTTGCTAATTTCTTAAAGGGTAAACAGGTGGTAGTGAGTGGCCCAGTTTCATTTTTCATTCCTGTTCCCCAAAGAACAGAATTGTTCATGTAGGAGTCCTTTGCAGCTTCAGTCTGCACCAAGAAAGGCCAAGAGGAAAGAATAGTAAGTGGCTTTTCTCGCTCTCAGCCTCAAGACTGAATTTAAACACACTTAACTTTGTGAGGGCAGGACTTGGTCTTCACATAGTGGAAAGTGTGCACTTGGCTACTCTGGGACTATCCTTTTTCCTGGGGCAAGGGTTCTGCTTTCCTGCCACTATGAGCTGTGGGGTCAGACTGCATCCTTAGGCCAGACATTCCACTCTCACCCCCCTGGAAGACTTTTAGGCAAGGTTCATCCTGTAACTGTTGACTCAGAACAGTTAGAGCTGGAGGAAGAACAAGCGGCCACCCTGCTCCCATGAGCCCTTTTCCTTGGTGGATAGGTTGTGGTTCTCCTGTTTGATGAGGAGGCCCCTGCATCTGACTCTCCAACTCAGTGAAAAGAATCACAGCACAGACCAGCCTCATTCTTTCTGCACCACTGCTCTGTCGAGTTGATTCAGTACCTGCAGTCCCACATAGTTAAAATCTGCTTAGCTTTGCTCTCTGTTGTGTGGACAATGAAATGGTTGACTAATACAACCCTGGCAGTGTCAGGCCTTGTCAGGACTAAAATTTGTCCAAATAGATACTGTCATCAAATGTGCTCCTGGTCCTTGCTAGTGAGACTATAGTTAGGATCCTTGTCCAGGTCTCAAAGGGCACGAGAAACTGTGAAGAGGCTTGGCATTGCTGTTCAGAGTACAGCCTCATCTGCCAAATTCTTGGGGTCACTAGAACTGTTTGGGTCCCTGCTGGAAGCTCTTAATACCCCTGAGCAGCTCACGTTGGAGCTGATGAAAATAGGTCTCCTAAGACCTCCATCTACCACTAAGTCCCTTCTGGAGTCCAGGTCCTGCTAGGAGTCTCTTGCCCCCTGGGACTGAGATGTTTTCTCACTTGAATGAGAGAGTGAATGGATGACTGCCCATGCCGCTGTCACTGTAATAAAGGACTAAGAAGACAAGATTTAAGAGGAAGAGATAACCATAGGACTTACAGGTTTCTTTGTTTTGCTCTTTTAATTTGTGATCTAGTACTAAGAACTAAACGTTAAATAGAACAGCATTTATGAACAGTATCTGGAAAGGAACCTTCATTAATGATCTCAATAAGAATAAATTTAAGTAAGTTATTTTTCTACCCCTCAAAATCCCTAAAACATGAATTTGTCTTCCACACATTAGTGCCAGAAAAGGGAATTTGTAGTAAAAATGTTTTTCATACTAGAAAGAAACAAGGATTGTAAGTCGCCCAGCATTGGAGCCATTGCCCCAGGACTGCCTAGTAGAAAGCTCCCTTTGGGCAGTTGTCTGCCTCCTTGGAAAAGCTTCCTGCCAAAGCTGCCCCTGAGAATCTGGGATGGAGGTGTGGCCGTGTGGTCTGGGTCCCCTGGGCGGTGTGGCAGCAGCATCTCGGGAGTTGGGTCCTCTTTTCTAACCTTGTGCTGCTGCATTGGATTAGCTACTTAGCTGGCGTGGTCAGACAAGGGGAGCACTCCCATGAGTGTGTCCACATGGGCCAGCGAACTATCAGAAGCGCCCTGTTGAACAAATGTGTTCAGGATAGAGGGATGCGGTTGTGTGTAGCTGATGAGGGGAACGTGGGTGGCACTTTTGTTACTTTGCAGTTTGGTTACTTTTGAAGTAATGTGTTCAGCTTAACTTTTTTTTTTTTTTTTTTAAAAAGACGAAATCTGGCTCTGTCGCCCAGGCTGGAGTGCAGTGGTGTGATCTCGGCTCACTGCAACCTCTGCCTCCTGGGTTCAAGCAGTTCTTCCTCAGCCTCCCGAGTAGCTGGGATTACAGGCGCACGCCACCACGCCTGGCTAATTTTCGTATTTTTAGTAGAGATGGGGTTTCACCATGTTGGCCAACCTGGTCTCGAACTTCTGACCTCAGGCAGTCCACCCGCCTTGGCCTCCCAAAGTGCTGGGATTACAGGCATGAGCCATTGCACCTGGCCCCAGCTTAATTTTTTTATAGACTTCTTTGCTGATGGATGTCTTTGAAAATAAGAGGTAATTTCAGTCACAGCTACAAATCTGGATCCAAATAAAACATGTGCTGTGGCCAAACCACAGTATTGCATAGGTTAATCCGGAGTCTTGGCTGCCCTCACTTCCTGTCTCACATTGGTCTGTTCTGTTATTTTCTTATGTCTACAAGTTTTCATGTAACCTATTTTCTTTTTTTAAAATTTCAATTAATTAATTTATTTTTGAGACAGAGTCTCTCTCTCTCTCTCTTGCCCAGGCTGGAGTGCGCTGGTGTGATCTTGATTCACTGCAGCCTCCGCCTCCCGGGTTCCAGCGATTCTCCTGCCTCAGCCTCCAGAGTAGCTGGGATTACGAGTGCGCACAATCATGCCTGGCAAATTTTTTTGTAGCTTTGTAGAGATGGGGTTTCATCATGTTGGCCAGGCTGGTCTTGAACTCCTGACCTCAGGTGATACAGCTCTGCCTTGGCTTCCCAGAGTGCTGGGATTACAGGCGTGAGCCACCGTACCCAGCCCCTTTATTCCCTGTTTTCTAAGGTCAGACTTGGGTTTACAGTTGATATTTCAGTTTTAGGTTTTTATCTATTTGTTACATTTTCGTTAAAAATAACTTGAATTTAAAAAAATTTGGCCGGGCGCGGTGGCTCACGCCTGTAATCCCAGCACTTTGGGAGGCCGAGGCGGGCGGATCACAAGGTCAGGAGATCGAGACCACAGTGAAACCCCGTCTCTACTAAAAATACAAAAAAAATTAGCCGGGCGCGGTTGTGGGCGCCTGTAGTCCCAGCTACTCGGGAGGCTGAGGCAGGAGAATGGCGTGAACCCGGGAGGCGGAGCTTGCAGTGAGCCGAGATCGCGCCACTGCACTCCAGCCTGGGTGACAGAGCGAGACTCCGTCTCAAAAAAAAAAAAAAAAAAAAAAAATTTGTAGCGGGAACATCTTGAATATATTACTGTTCTAAATCAGGGGTGTTCAATGTTTTGGCTTCCCTGAGCCACACTGGAAGAATTGACTTGGACCACTCATAAAATACACTAACATGTATGGCCCCAGGGGACCCAGACCACAAGGCCACACCTCCATCCCAGATTCTCAGGGGCAGTTTTGGCAGGAAGCTTTCCAGGAGGCAGACAACTGCCCAAAGGGGGCTTTCTACTAGGCAGTCCTGGGGCAATGGCTCCAATGCTGGGCCACTTACAATCCTTGTTTCTTTCTACTATGAAAAATAGGCCGGGCGCGGTGGCTCACGCCTGTAATCCCAGCACTTTGGGAGACCGAGACGGGCGGATCACGAGGTCAGGAGATGGAGACCATCCTGGCTAACACGGTGAAACCCCGTCTCTACTAAAAAATACAAAAAACTAGCCGGGCGAGGTGGCGGGCGCCTATAGTCCCAGCTACTCGGGAGGCTGAGGCAGGAGAATGGCGTGAACCCGGGAGGCGGAGCTTGCAGTGAGTTGAGATCCGGCCACTGCACTCCAGCCTGGGTGACAGAGCGAGACTCCGTCTCAAAAAAAAAAAAAAAAAGAAAGAAAAATAGTAGTGAGCTAAGAAAAAAAAATCTCATAATGTTTTAAGAAAGTTTATGAATTTGTGTTGGGCTGCATTCAAAGCTGTCCTGGGCCACATACAGGCTGCGGGTTGGACAAGCTTGTTCTAAATTATGTAGGGCACTTTTATTTTAAAAGTTACTTTTCTAAGGCTTTTCAAATATCAGTTAAACTTTTACTGAGTAATGCCTACGTGCAAAAGCAGTATGTCCTTCTCATTGTGATGTGTGAATACATATTAATGTTTCCTTAGCACTGTAATGTCATGGAAATTACAAAGAATTCAAAATAATTTTTTGTTTGCATGTGCATTGGGGGGGGTTTCCTCACAGAATTTCCAGAACAAAAATTGTTTGCTGCCCTGTTGATTAAATGTGTTGTGCAGCTGGAACTCATCCAGACTATCGACAACATTGTCTTCTTCCCAGCCACAAGTAAGAAAGAAGATGCGGAAAACTTAGCTGCAGCGCAGGTAAGGAGATAGGAGGACAGCTGCTTTTTTTGTGTAAGTAGGAAGTTAGCTATAGCAGTCTGGGCTGTAGAGTTAGGCTAGAGAATTAATTTGTGGGGCCTTCCTCATGCAGATGTCCTTTTAAACCATGAGACTGGATCCCATCACAAGGTAGTAAGGTTAGCTAGAGCAGGGAGGAGGGTCAGCAACTGAGCACTAGGAACCTTGTCCTCTACAGCTTCTGGAGAGGAGGCAGCTAGCAGAGACTGAGGACGAGAATCCAGGAGGCATGGGGAGGCACGGGGAAGCAGGTGTCAGTTGTCCGGGAAGTCAGATGAAGAAAATGTTTTAAGAAGCAGCATGTGATCAGTCACTTGTTAAATGCTCTGGATAGGTCAAGTGATACTACTCTTGAGAACTGCCTTCTAACTATTTGGAGGACTTTGGAACCTTAACAATGTGTTAAATGTTAAATTGAGGACAAAAGCATAATTGTAATGGGGAGAGAGAGAGAGAGAATGTGGACTCAGCCAGTACTCTGTTAAGAAGTTTTGCTATAAAGGCACAGAGAAATGTGATAGCTGGAGTGTGAGGGGTTTGCTATGTTTTGTTCTCCAGATTGGTGATATGGCAGTGTGTTCACTGGTAAGAGCTTTCCAGTAGGGAGAGAAAAACTGACTGTAGGCAAGAGAGGGGCAATTGCTAGGGCCATGTTTTTGAGTGAGTGGAGATAGTACTTCATACAGAGTGGGAATCACCTGGGGCAGAAGCCCAGATAGTTCCCATGTGGTGGCAGGGGGATGGCTGGGGGATGGGTTATGGATGCAGGAAGTCTGGTACATTTGGGGTGGGAGCTTGTGAGAGACCACCTTTGCCAGCTTCTGGTTTCTCACTGAGATGGGAAGAAAAGTCATGTACCATGTGAGATTTGGAAGAATGTTTTAGCTACTTGAGAAGTGAAAACGTGAGCTGGTTGGCCAGGAACGTGGCCTAGGCCAAGGTCTGCCAAGGGCTGGGCCAGCACCAAGCCCACTAGTTTAGAGAGAAACCAGTCTGCTTTCTCTAGTCACACATGACCACACGGCCGTTTTGCCAGCCAGTTACTAAAAGGAAGAGGAGGGGTTGTGAAAGAGAATAATTAAAATCATGATGCATGGACTCCATAGCAGTTGAGAAGGGAGGACTTGAGGGGCTGAGGAGCGCAGGGCCAGGGAGTTGGGAGTCCAGGAGGGTCTGGACTGATGGGAGGCGGTGCTTGGGGACGAGGATGTGTAACGGAAGATGGACCGTCCCTTACTTTGTTAGGTTAGATGAAGCTGAGTATCTGTGGCTTTCTTGTGAAACTGGTCTTTGGGGAGCATTGAGTTGTAAATTAACTAAAATTATTGTGACTGTGTGTATATGCTGGGGTGGTTTGTTTTTCAAAGAGAGATGCGGTGGACTTTGATGTTCGAGTTGATACTCAAGACCAAGGAATGTACCGCTTTTTAACATCACAACAACTTTTTAAGCTACTGGACTGCTTATTAGAGTCACATAGATTTGCAAAAGCATTTAATTCCAACAACGAACAGAGGACTGCCCTGTGGAAAGCAGGTAAGCTATGCACGCCTCACATTTAATGTTTACTGTTGATGGATGTGGGACAGATACATACAGGTATCAGAACTCATTGACTGTCTACTGTAGGTATCTGCATGTCACTATGTGTACTTGTGTACTCTGACCTTAACAGTAGTAAGGTAATCTCACAACCAGGCCCTTTTCTGGTCTGCAGTAAGCCAGATAACTACTTGGGTGAATTTTTTCCCCCTTGGTCTATTATTTGACTTATATTGTTCTTTCATCTTGTTTACCCAACCTGGACCTTCTTATTGATACTAACTGACATGATAAAAGCTGTCCTTTCATTAGGAAATAAATGTGTAAAAGTCACACACACAAAACCTGGCATGTGTATTTGAATGGCTTCTCTGTTTACTGGGAATGGCTAAAGTTCAGAGTGAAGGTGAATTTATTGGGATGTGAGTTATATTTGTTGTAGAACAAGTTAGACATTTTAAACAAAAAATAAGCTTTTATTATAAACCAAAGTGGCATTGTTAATTTTTTAATTTAAGAAATAGAGCCAGGTGCAGTGACTCATGCCTGTAGTTCTGGCTACTCGGGTGGTTGAGGTGGGGGGATTGCTTGGGGCCAGAAGTTTGAGACCACCCTGGCCAACATAGACCCTGTCTCTACAATAAATTAAAATTAGCGGGGCATGGTATCGCATACCTGTAATCCCAGCTACTCGGGAGGCTGAAGTGGGAGGATCACTTGAGCCCAGGAGTTTGAGGCTGCGGTGAGCCATGATCACACTGCTCCCCTCCAGCCTGGGCAGCACAGTGAGACCCCATCTCTTAAAAAAAGAAAAGAAAAAAGAAAGAAATATAATTATTAGGTGCCAAACAGTGCTGGGAGGATGAGGGGCAGCAGAATAAGGCAGAGAAAAAGAAGGGGGCTGATAGTTACTGAACATCAAACTCTGTATCAAAAGGGTTTGGTGCTTATGTTTGTTTATTTAAAACAGCTGTGGCATTCTTCTTCCCTTTACAGCCTAACTTCTGGGAAGAGTAGTCTGTACTTATTTTTCCCCTTTTTTCCTACTCAAGTTGTTGCCACCATTCCACTGGGCCTGTTCCTGCTGAGCTGATAGACCCTCCTTGTGTCCACACACACTGGACCCATCAGACCTCTGACAGAGCAGTTCTCACCTCCTGGAGGTTGCCCCTGTTTATCTGAGCGCCCTCGTGCAGGCAGAGCACAGAGCCCCTTCTACAGCTTTGGGGATTCAAGTGCAGTTTCATGTGAAGGGCTCCACCTTCCCAGGCCACAAGTTATTTTATATCTCATATCCCCAACGCGAATAGGGAGGGAATCCTGGACGTGGAAATCATCTTCATATCAGGCTGCTGTGGCTCCGCTTTGTAAGCAGCAGATGCTGATGGCTGAGCACAAACAAAATGTGCTTCCATATGGGCTGCTTCACCTTTACATAAGATGCCTTCCCAAACTAATCCCAGAAACTTCCCCTTTCTGCAGGATTCAAAGGCAAATCCAAGCCCAACCTTCTAAAGCAGGAGACCAGCAGCCTGGCCTGTGGGCTGCGCATTCTATTCCGGATGTACATGGATGAGAGCCGCGTTAGTGCCTGGGAGGAGGTCCAGCAGAGGCTTTTGAAGTAAGACTCTTGACTGATTTCCATCTCTGACCAGGTAGCCACGTGGTGCCGGGCAGGAAAGGGGCACCGGTGGGACCATGCTGAGAGCTGAGCCTTTGGGGCCTGGATGCCCCTATTCCACAGAGCAATTGTAAAACTTAAATTCAGTCTTAGAGATGAATGTGCTTTAGTGACATGTGGCCAAATCATGTCTAACATGCAGGACAAAGGAGGTTTTCTGTTTTAAAACTGTGAACTATGTCATTTATAGGCCTTTTTAATGTCCTAAGATAGTCCCATTTTTACAGAACAATCATTTGTGAAAGTGAAAACTTGCCTGCCTGCATTTACTTTGGAAAAAATATTTGGAGTTTTTCTTAGTATTACTTTTTTTACTCTTTTACTTTAAGATAACTAACATGTAAACTCAGGCTAAGAATGAAACATGCCATTCAGAAAGAATACTACCATCTGCATTGTATTACATCTACTTAAGGAATAGATGTTCTGAGGCCAATTAAATACATTTTAGAATTTTAAGGGGTCACCTAGTCTCTGTTATCCCATTTGATTGACAAGACTGGTTGATTAAGGCCCCGCAGGGCCTTGTGATCTAGGTCCTCACAAGGGTCAGTGAAGAGAGGAGTCGCCTCAGATTCCAGTCCAGGTCTCTTGAAACTAAGCTTCATATGTGCCACCTGCCACACAGCAGCTTTGAATTGAAAGAAACTTAGAAAATTAGGAAAATGTGGGTTTCCTGGTAAGTTACAATGGCTTCTTTTAACATGTTTGGTTTTCTTCTCAATTTGAAAAGCATGTTTATGTTGACACTCCGGCTAATGTAAACAGATAGGATCGAACATGTTCTTGAACAGTTCATATTCACTACTATGTTCATGATTGCTCTTTCTCAGTGAATATGGGGACCAGTAGATATACAAGTAACATTAAAGGAAGCCTTTTCTTTTGCAGTGTCTGCAGTGAAGCGCTAAGTTACTTCCTCACTCTAACATCAGAAAGTCATCGGGAAGCCTGGACTAACTTACTGCTTTTGTTTCTAACTAAAGTTCTAAAGATAAGTGATAATAGGGTAAGTATGAGGCTTCGAATCCAGCCCAACAGTTCTAGCCCGATTCGCGTCGGGATGCCGGGTCCCAGAGTCGCCGTGCAAGAGCTCTCAGAGCTGAATCAAGCAGTGCCCAGGCTGCACAGCTGCTTGTGCAAAACCACCAGTGGCCTTGCTGTATCTTCCTCAGTCCTCGCTTTTCTCCCTCTTACCCAGCTTTGTTCACTAATTAGCAGTTCTCTAGGGGATTCAGTAGGTGAGGGATCAGAATCCCTTGGGATACCTCGACAAGTTCCTGGGTTCCCTCAACATTGAAATTCCCATTGTGACCCCAGGAGTCTCTCCCTTTTCCCCATTTTGAAAACTGCTTTCCAACTACCTCATGACCTTGCACTCTGCCTGCTACTCAAGAATACATCTGGTTCCTGGGCCTGTGCTCCGGGCTGCAGCTGTTCCTTTGGCATATTTAGTGGTTCCAGGTAACCCAGAGTCCCTAGTGAATGGGCCTCATATAAGAATTTTGAACCAGTAGAAATAAAGATAAAATACACACATGACTGTAAATATAAGTGCATATTTAAAGGTTTTCAAAAATGTACATTCTACTCTTACAAAAAAATAGCAACTTACAGCTCACACATAAGGAAACAGGTTGCTTTGCTGTGACCCTAGAATAGGTTTAAAAATGCCTAGTGATGTGGCCCAGTACTTGAAAGGCCAAGGGTTCTAAACCCCAGCCTCTGTTACTCCACAGCTGACTTTTTTTTGCCATAACATGTCTCACTGCTTCTCTGGATCTGGAGGGGCACAGGGGTAGGAAAGGAGGCTGCAGACTAGAGTTCAGAGATGAAGGAACTACTGTGAAGATACAGCCGAAGTATAGCAATTGAACTGTACATGTGAAACGTATGTAGCTTTGCCTGAAGAACTGTTTAGATTTTTCCCCAAAACTTAAAATTTTTATGTAACAAAAGATAAAATTTCAGTAACCCATAGCTTATAAAAACTCAACTCTAGTTTGTACTCAGTTGTTTTCTTTTGCTTATTGCCCAGGAAAAACAGTGCTAAATTACTAAAAGTTTGTCAAAGATATACAGGCAAATGTTTTTCAAAGTAAGGATATGTAAATGAGTAGTGTTTGTATGAAGTGAGTTTTTCTAAGTTCCACAACCCACAGTCACTGCCTGCTGTGGACGCTGCTTTCCTGGCTCCTGTAATCGAGCCCCAGAGTAGTTTGACTCTAGGCAGTTTGAGGCTCTGGAGTTTGCAATCACTGCTAACGGAGAAATTCATTTTCCCTGCAGTTTAAAGCTCATGCATCATTCTACTACCCTCTCTTATGTGAAATTATGCAATTTGACTTGATTCCTGAACTTCGTGCTGTTCTTAGAAGATTTTTTCTGCGAATCGGAGTAGTTTTTCAGATATCACAACCACCTGAACAGGAACTTGGAATAAACAAGCAATGATGGGAACTTAATATTTTTGTTGGCGTTTACATCCCTCTGCTCTTTAAAAGGACGCTGGAGCTGAGGTTTCCTACCTGAAAAACGATTTCTTCGGATTGCAGTGTCTGAGAGTTACTGGTAAAGATGCTTAGAACTCTTATTCAAACTTTCAACACTCCAGTCCCTTTTAGTACGGGCGGATTTTGTGTGTTATGTTGGCCTCATGTTGAGCAGAAAGCCTGTTTAAACAGTGTCAGCTCATGCTCACGGGTCCTTCCCTGTCTTCCACGGCAGGAAAAGCCCCACATGTTTTTGGCAGGTGTGGAAGTGAAACTTACCCAAAGAACTATAGATGTAAAGATTGAACTTCTACAAGAAGTACAACTCAGGAGAGCTGTATTTTGAAGGATAAAATGTTTATAATTGGGGAGTGGGGAGAGAAGAAGAAATTATTGTTCATGGTAAAAGATATTTAGCAACTATGGTATTCTTATTCTGAAGATTTTTGCACACTCAGGCTATCTGAGATACTGGTAATCATCCTGTGAAAAATGTACAGAGATGCAGGTCTGTAATATAAAAATCTTAAACATTATATAGTTCTTCCTGCACTGTTTTCTTTCTTTATTTTCTTATTCATTTGCTAAATACCCATAATATTTTGTCAAATGCACTAAACATTTGGGTGGAACTTTCTTTTTTATTTTGTGGGGATTTTTAGTTTGGCCCTTTTTGGTGGGTGGTGATTTTGAGGCTTTAACATGCCCAGAAGCTGTTGTGGCTGACACTTCAACAACAGGGAAAAAAAGGTAGAAAATATCCCTACTGACAGTAACTACCTGTCACATATTTCTCTTAGGGCTTTTAAAGATGAGCCATTAAAATAGAATGATCCTTTATGGACCAAAACTTGAATCACTGCAAAATGAATCCAGATTGCTGTCATTTTCTTTTGGGTGGTGGGGCTTGATGTAGATTTTACTCTTATGTACAGAATTTAATGTTGAATATATTAAAATAACAAATCTGGCATGGTTTGCGGAGGTTAGATTTACTGGAAATGTATTCATACTGTGAATTGTGCTCTGATGGTTAAAAGACAAGATTGTCAAGCATTCCGTATTAACAGTGGATGTAGAAAATTTTTTCAGACGGATAAAATGTATATGGTACAGATGTAAAGTTTTCTATGTAAAAAATTCTGTACAACTTTCTGTACAATATTGATTCTCATCTGGCATATTCTAATCAGGTTATAGGTCAATAAAGTTTTTGAAATATTTCATCAGTGCAATCAAAACCTCTATAACCCACCCCCATGTTTCATTGATTCTTTTCTGTTAAGGCCAAACTACTATGGAAAAGACATTTTCAGCCAGAACTATAAATTCAGTATTGTTTGGTTCTGGTATTTTCTTTCCAGCTTCCAGCATTAGATCCTCCCTCACACTGTACTTACCATAGAATATTTATTTTTAAGGCAGTTTTTAAAATTTTTATGTATCTATTAGAGACTGGATCTCACTCTGTTGTCCAGGTTGGAGCGCAGTGGTATGATCACAGCTCACTGTAGCCTCAAGCGGGGCTCACGTGATTCTCACACTCCACCCTCCCCAGTAGTGAGGACTATAGGCACACAACACTACACTTGGCTAATTAAAAAACATTTTTTTTGTAGAGACGGGATCGCACTATATTGCCCAGACTGGTCTCAAACTCTTGGACCTGAAGTGATCCTCCCAACTCAGCCTCCCAAAGTGCTGGGATTATAGGCGTGAGCCACCATATCCAGCCCGAAAATCTTTTGATATTTTGCATATTAATATTTTATATATTAATAACCTAGCATCAGGCTACACTACTTGAGTGCTGAAAAGAGCTAAAGTTCTCTTCAGCACAGTTTGCAATATTGTGTGTTTTAGGAGTCAGTTGAAGTTGTGTGGTACATGGCATTAAACAAAAATGGAACGTGTCAATATCATCTAACATGGTTGTGTTAAAGAGGAAAAGTATTTAGTCATCTTTGCTTTCACACCTCTCTTAGATAATGAACAGTTACTGAACAATGCATTTGTAAGTGTGCCGTATTTGTTACCCCTAAGACAGCTCTGTTCAAGCCCAGCTGGATGCTAGAGCTGGGAGCCACTGTGACCTTGCTGTGCGAGGGTAAGTGTTCCACACAACCTGGCAGTTGATTATTTAATGGTGTAGTATTAGGACTCTTCCCCTAGAAGAGTCAGAGGCTTTCTTCTTTCTTTCAGATGACAATAGAACAAATCTTTACTAGTAAAGCAAACGATGGTCCTAAAATTAGAAAATCAATCAAATATAAAATTTACAACTAGCCAAAACTCAAAATATCAGTAATATGTGTGATATTGTCTACCATTAATTACATCAGAGGATGTATTGGAGAAGCAGTGCCTGGGGATGTTCTCAGCTGTCATGGTTGTGAAGATTCTAATCTGAGTCAGAATTTCATAATTTGAATGACTCCTTTTTTTTTAAAAAAAAGTATCAGTTACTGAGTGATTAGAAAACTCACATGGACTCACTTATCCAAGGTTCCATGGTGGTGGAACAAGAAGACGACTCCAGTTTCTCTGTCCTTGACTCCCGGGTGTCCCCACCTCTGTTCAGCCTCCAGAAAACTAGTCTAGAAAGCTCCATAGTAGTTGAAATAAAAAGAAGATTTTAGTAATTAAAATAAAAATTTATTTGTATCAAGAAGTAGTTATATAAATTAGTAACTTAAATGCCTTCATTGGAATAAAAATAGAAGCAGAAAGGTGTAACATTTAATGGCTTACAAGAATACAAGCAATTACAGTTCCCTTCATTTCTGTATCAGTAGCTACAAATAACATGAAATAGGACATCTGATTGTGTCACACAGAAACTGGAATAATCACAGCTACAATAGATGTACCTACTAAATGAATTCTTTTGCATGGAGGTAACAATGGAAAATGTGCATGTAACAAAGGGGAATCTGGTTTTACAGGACGGTTAAGACACTTATTCACCTTAATGACAAGCAGAATTCAACATACACACATACAGTAGTTCAGTTCATTACCACCCTAATTTATGACAAAATTGTGCAAAAATAATTCTATACAATTCTATTATATAAATCAATAATCATGGCCTTATATTTATGTACACAATATACATCATAATAATTTTATATACAGATGGAAAAAAAGTAACTTTTAGGTAGGGGCCAAAAGGTAGGACATATTATTGAAGGTACAGATTTACCATTCCTTTCACCTTAAAAGGCTCTACTGGGTCCAATACAGGTTTATTTTAACCATGTGCAGTCGACAGGCCCTGCCAAGTGAAAGTGCCTGGTTTTCCAGGAACCTGCTGCTGCTCCTGGTTCAGCTGCTCTGCCATGAAGCGTTTCAGTGTTTCTGAAGTGCCAGGGCGGAGCCAGGGCTCAGTTGCTACAGAGTTTGATCCGTCATCCCCTATGTGTTTCATGATGTCATCAGGGTCAACCAGTGAACTCTCATCATCTACAGGAGGCAAGGGACATGTGACTCAGGTAACAGGCAGGCAGGACAACTCGGCATTTCCCCACAATGTCATGTCCTGAACTCTGTTTTGGTTAGACTCACCCCACCGTATTTTAGAGGGAGGAGAGCAGGCCCACAAAGGCGTCAATTTTGTAAAACAAAAAATGATCAACTGAGTAAGCTGAATCCATGGCACTAGCAACCAGAGGGATTCTAAGTATATCAGCGACACCTCTCCACCAAAGTCAACAGGAGGAATGTAGGTAGTTTTATTTTGTAACTGTTACCTCAGGAGAAGCCTAATGGCTACACATAATTTTTTTTTTTTTAAGCAAGGTTTGGGGAATACTCTTCAACCTACAACACTGCTATAAGGAAATTAAGTTATTTTGGGAAAACACTAGTTGCAATGAGATTACTTCCATTCTTAAAACATCTAATCTAAGAAGGCCATGTCCAGTCAATGAAGAGGTAGCTCTTAATGTGTTTCATTCTTTAACTGAATTTGTACTCAACTTCTGTGTTTTACTTATTATTAGGTATAGTAATAGGAAAATCTGTCTTCCTACCCTGTGATGTCATATTCTTTTTTCTTTTTTTTTTTGAGGCGGAATCTCTCTCTGTCGCCCAGGCTGGAGTGCAGTGGCGCGATCTCCACTCACTGCAAGCTCCGCCTCCCAGGTTCATGCCAGTCTCCTGCCTCAGCCTCCCGTATAGCTGGGACTACAGGCGCCTGCCACCACACCCAGCTAGTTTTTTTTTTTTTTTTTTTTTTTGTATTTTTAGTACAGACGGGGTTTCACAGTGTTAGCCAGGATGATCTCTATCTCCTGACCTCGTGATCCGCCCGTCTCGGCCTCCCGAAGTGCTGGGATTACAGGCGTGAGCCACCGCGCCGGGCCTTTTTTTTTTTTTTTTTTTAAATTACATCTGGTCTGTGAAGGATTGGTATGTGCAATCAATCCACATCATAACAAAAAGCTCCTGCTTGAAAGGACAATGTTAAAAAACAGTGTAGACATTAAAAATCTTCTGAAAAAGATTCTTAAAATGCTGTCTTCTCTCAGATATATTCCTGTTAAATATTAATTGTTTGTTGGGTCTAAAAGAAAATGCCTTGTAGCTGGAAAGAAGACATCCTTTCCTACTGTCCCATCAATTAACCATGTCTGCTTGTGTTTGGTGTGGAATTACCACCATTAGAACACACCACACCTTGACTGCTAGATAGACAGTATATGAGTACAGTTTTAAATTAATACAGTATTAAAGGTAGAATCTAAAAAAAATCTTGAGATTGTAATGTAGATTAACAGACTAAAGAGTATTTCCCAAATAGACCACTATTTGCTAAAACTAATTACCAATATGAAACTGTCCCATTATCCCAGTGGGTAATAGCATTGGTACAAAAAAGGGTGGTACAGGGCTCCTTAGGTGTCCATCCTGCCTTGTGCTCTATGACTAGCTTTAACCTGCAAGTCACAAAAATACACTCATAATGAGACTAGCTTTATTTGTCCTCTGAGGCTTTGTTTGTCCATGGTGTGGAAAGCCAAATAAGAAGGTAAAAATTTTCTTTGTAGTACTACAAATTTACAGCATAAGTGTAAGAACTCAGTCTTAAGGCTAATTTCTAATAATGTTTTATTACTAAAGTTTTAGTAAAGTGATTACTATATCATATAGCATTTTCTCTGCTGAAAGCAAAGCCTGGATATATTTAATAAGCAAAAACTATTTTACCTGTTTAGACTCCACTCTAAAATGGGCACCCTCTCTGATAGAGAAAATCTGATGCAAACTTAATCCTGAGGTCTGGTTTTGCTCAATAGTTACGTCTTGGGCCATACAACTCAAAGGACTTCAAACTCATTCCATCTATCCTCAGACGTTAGTGAAAGCCTTGAGTAAGAAAGTTTAAAAGTTCATAAAGGATCTCTGCTATAGGCCATTACACTTGGTCATTTACCTGTATTAATAGGTTTATTGTGAAGTTCATTCAGTCTTCGCATTCGTTCCTCATTTCTCATTCTAAGCTGATCAACATTTACACTGGATGTAGATTTTAGAGAGAGACCATCTGGTGCTACATTAGGACGACTGCTATCCTGTAGTTAGAAAACAGAACTTCAGAAAGTCATTAACATAAAGTATGTTCACAAATCAGTGAATCAGGGCCAGGCATGGTGACTCTCGGTAATCCCAGCACTTTGGGAGGCCGAGGCAGGCAGACCACCTGAAGTCAGGAGTTGGAGACCAGCCTGACCAACATGGTGAAACCCCATCTCTACTAAAAATACAAATTAGCTGGGCATGGTGGCGGGCACCCGTAGTCCCCAGCTACTTGGGAGGCTGAGGCAGGAGAATCACTTGAACGCAGGAGGCGGAGGTTGCAGTGAGCCGAGATTGTGCCACTGGACTCCAGCCTGGGAGACAGAGACTCTTATCTCAGGGAAAAAAAGAAAAAAACATCGACAAATCAAAACATCCTCTTGCCCTCAAATGTACATTGTGATGAACAAAATAAATGGAAATATGGAGCACTTATATTATGGCTCCTATGCTTATCCATGCAAGCTCAGATGACTCAGTCAAGAATAAGGAATAACATTTGTGATGACAGAAATGCTGCCAGTCTGGATAAAGCTTGGGAATTATAGGACACAGAAGGAAAAAACTAAAGCAGCAGGGGCTGAGACAGTCCAGCTGTATTCAAGGCAGTGTGGTACTGACATAAGAAAAGACAAGTAGATCAATGTAAGATTAAGAATAATACAGAAGTAAATCCTTATGTTTACAGATGAGTTAACAAAATGCAATGGGAGAACAGTCTTTCAACAAATGCTGCTAGAACAACTGGATGGCCACATGCAAAAGAATGGACTTGGACCCCTGCACCTCACACCCTATGCAAAAATTAAAGTGTATCACAGACCTACAATTAAGAACAAACTGAAAAAAAACAAGTAAATCCTCATGATCTTGTCCTAGGCAATGGTTTCTTAAGTAAGACACCAAAAGCCCAAGAGAGATTGATGAGTTGGACCTCATCAAAATTTAAAAACTTCTGTGCTTCAAAGAACACCATCAAGAAAGTTAAAAAGATACAGAATGGGAAAAAAGATGTGAAAATCACACATTGATAACTAGACTTGTAGCCAGAATGTAAAAGAACTCTTAACAACTCAATAAAAAGACAATTCAATTTGAAAATGGGCAAAGGGCTGGGCACGGTGGCTCACGCCTGTAATCCCAGCACTTTGGGAGGGGAGGCAGGCAGATCACCTGAGGTTAGGAGTTTGAGACCAGCCTGGCCAACATGGCAAAACCCCGTCTTTACTAAAAATACAAAAGTTAGGCATGTTGGCATGCACCTGTAATCCCAGCTACTCAGGAGGCTGAGGCAGGAGAATCCCTTGAACCCCAGTGGGGCAGAGGGTGCAGTGCGCTGAGATCACACCACCATACTCCAGCATGGGCGACAGAGCGAGACTGTATTTAAAAAAAAAAAAAAAAAAAAAAGCAAAAGGATTTGAATAGACATACCTCCTAAGAAAATATACAACTGGCTAATAAGCACATGAAAAGATGTTCAACGTCATTAGAGAAATGCAACTCAAAACCACCATGACACTACTTTACACTCAATGGCTAAAATCAAAGACACTAAGTGATGGCCAGGATACAGAGAAATTACAACCTTCATACACTGATGATGGGAAAGTAAAATGGTACAGCCACCTTGGAAAACAGTCTGGTACTTCCTCAAAATGCTAAATACAAAGTGTCCATATAACCCAACAATTTTCCTCCTAGCTATATATATTCAAGAGTAATAAAAACGTCAAAAACTTGTACATGAACATTAATAGTATCCGTAAGAGCTAAAAAGTGAACACAACCCAAATATCTATTAATTGTTAAATGGATAAACAAAATGTGGGATACTAATACAGTGGAAAATTATTCAACACTAAAGAGGCATCAGTACTGGCACATGCTACAACATGAATGACCTTCAAAAGAAGACAGACAAATCCAGTCACAAATAACCATAGAATGTATGATCTCATTTATGTTAAATGTCCAGAAAAGGCACATCTATAGAAACCAAAGTAGATTGGTGGTTGCCTAAGGCAAAAAGCAAAGCTATTTTCACCTGGTAATGCTGTACATATAATAACGCTAATAGCATCTGTTACTTGGTGAGAGCTCTCTGCATACATGGCTCAGTGCTAAATGCTTCATATTAACTGTATCTTAATGTCATATAAAAGGAAACATAGAGTTTAAGAAATTGCCCAAGCTGCCTGCCCAACAAGGAGGTGACATCGTTGGGACATAAACTCCAAAGCCTCTACTTTTTACTGGCTACACCGTAAAGCTGGGGAGCACAGTGATGAGAACATGGGTTTGAATCTCAGCCTTCTTGCCCATATGACCTTGGCAAGTCATTTGACCGAAATGAAGATGACGCCTATATCACAGAATTAGGTTATCATGAGGCTTTTCGATAAATGGCATCAGTTCCTTCTTGTGCCTCTCTGAAATCCATATATTCTGCAGGAGAAGGAGGAAGGTTGGGATGCAGAGCTACTTACAGCCACCCCAGGAGACAAGAAAATACTATTATTATCTGGAAGAAGCCAAAGCAGCAGAATTCAATAGCTACCCAAGGTCATCCAGTCAAGGCTGAGCCTAGATTCAGACCCATGTCTGAATTTCAAGCAAGTGCTCTTTCTTTATGGGGCCACACAGATTTAGCATGGGTCAGAACCCAGACCTCTCATTCTTCTAAGTTGAAAAGGGGAAGAAAAGAAGTTTCATACACACAATGTCTAGTCCTTTCCATTTGTTCCTCCTGCGCTCCCGTGCAGAGGGCAACTGTGATGGTGGAGGGAGGACGTCATCTTCAATGGCAGGATATGTCTCACCGTAAGCACCTAAGAGGACCCCAAAAAGCAGAAGGAGTCTTAATACCGCTTCAAATCTTACTCAGAGCTAAACCAAGAGCCTGTCTTTTCATTACATTTTGCTTACAATACCATGAAATACACTCAATTTAAGTGTACATACACAGTTCGGTGATTTTTTTAGCAAATTTACAGAGTTGTGCAATCATCACTTTAGAGCATTTCCATCACCTTAAACAGCTCCTTTGTGCCCACTGGCAATCACTCCCTACTCCTACTTGCTGCCCTGGGCAAACACTGCTCTGTTTCAACAGATTACCTTACCCAACACCAAACATAAATGGAATTCTACAACTTAATCTTATGTGTCTTTTCACTTAGCAATAAGGTGTATGAGATTCATCTGTGCTGTGCCATGTTTGTTTATTACATTTTACTGCTGAATAATACTCCATCATATGGATATGTCATATTTTGTCTATGCATTTACCAGTAAATGGACATTTGCTAGTTGCTAGCAATTATGAATAACACTGCTATGAACATTCACATTCAAGTTTTTGTGTGGACGTATCGTCTCATTTCTTTGGGTTATAGAACCAGAAATGAAATTGCTGGGTATTATGGTTAACTCTGTTCTGCATTTTGAGGAACTACCAACCTATTTACATTTTACATTGTAAGAAGGTTCCAATTTCCCCACATCCTCATCAACACTTGGTATTGTCGGTCTTTTTGCTTATAATCATTCAAGTGGACCAGAGCTAATTTGACATGGACAAATAGCCTACAACATCTACGGTAACCTCCACAGCTCCTTTGAAAAAAATTATACCTAAAGAAAAGTTAGAATAATACACATACTTAGAATCACCATTAGTTACTTTGCCCATTTCTATATATATTTGGGGGGATGCTGTTTTTGCCAAGCCACTTTGCTACACCAATAAATTGGAGACATCATGGCATTTTGTCTCTATTTCAGTGTGTACCCTCTAAGAACAAGGACTGGCTCCTACACTGCAAAAATCTAATTATAACATTCAGAAAATTTAACACTTATACAAAACTATCATCATTTAACATACAATTGATATTCAATTATCCAAATGTATACTGTATGGGTTTTTAACAATAGAAATAACTTTTATTGAATAAGATGTGGGGCTTTCTATAATTCTAAAATAAGTTTTGGGTCCTTCCATGCCTTTTCATGGTTTAGTAGCTCATTTTGTTTTAGCGCTGAAAACGATTGCATTGTCTGGATGTACCACACTTTATCCATTCACCTCCTGAAAGACATCTTGGCTGCTTCCAAGTTTTAGCAATTATGAATAAAGGTGCTATAAATATCTGCGTGCAGGTTTCTTTATGGACAAGTTTTCAACTCCCTCAGGCAAATACCAAGGAGTATATATGCTGAACTGTATGGTAAGAATATGTTTATTTTTGTAAGAAATTGCCACACTGTCTTCCAAAATTGACTACACTTTTGCAGGCCCACCAGCAATGAATGGGAGTTCCTATTGCTCTAAAACCTTGCCAGCATTTGGTGTCAGTGTTTTGAATGCTGGCCATTCTAGCAGGTATGTGGTGGTATCTCATTTTAATTTACAATTCTCTAATGTGTTACCAGGCGGGTCCTTGTTCTTAGAACTCCCAAGATGGTGGTGGGCCGCTTCCAAGATGGTGGCAAGCCTCTTGTTCTCTGACCTGGGGTTCTTGGCCTCAGATTCCAAGGAACGGAATCTTGGGCCATGCATGAGTGTTACAGCTCTATTAGAAGCCGGGGTCACAAAAGAGAACCATGGAACCCAGAGACTAGTGTTCAGCTTGATTAGGACAAACCCAGGCACTTAGTCGTGCAGGAACAATGGCGAGCCTTTAGCCTGATTGGGAGCGGCAATGGGCGCCACCTCGGTGGATCAGAAGTGCACCGGATACCCTGCCAGATCAGGAGGGGTGGAAGTCAGAGGCGGGTCTGCGACAGCGGCAAACAACACTGGTGGACGGCAAGTGAAAGCTCAGCTCGAGCCGTAACAAACACGGACCAGAAGAGCATGCAGCTGCAAGATTTAATAGAGTGAAAACAGAGCTCCCATACAATGGGAGGGGACCCAAAGAGGGTTGCTACTCCCAGCTCAAATGCCTGGGTTTATATCCTGATCATTGTCCCTCCCCCTGTGCTCTCAGGTGATATATGATTTGACTATTTCTTAACCTCCTGCTTTAGCCTAATTTGTATTTTAGTGAGCCCTCTTTACTACCTGATTGGTTGGGTGTTAGCTGAGTTACAAGCCCCATGTTTAAAGGTGGGTGCAGTCACCTTCCCAGCTAGGCTTAGAAATTCTTAGTTGGCCTAGGAAATCCAGCCAGTCCTGTCTCTCAATAGCATCCTTACATAGTCTTATATCTTGATGGTGATGTGTGGTGCAAGTCTTGCTCAATCTTTTAATCAGTTTTTTTATTTTCTTATTGTTGAGTTTTAAGATTTCTTTGTATATTTTGGATAGCAGTCCTTTATCTGATATGTCTTTTGCAAATATTTTCTTACAGTCTCTGTCCTGTCTTCTCATTCTCTTAATTAACAGTGTCTTTTATAGAGCACAGCAAATTTTTAATTTTTACAAAGTCCGGCTTATCAATTATTTCTTTGTTTTGTATCTAAAAGTCATCACCATACCCAAGGTCATCTAGATTTTCTGTTGTTATCGTCTATGAGTTTTTCAATTTAGCATTTTACATTTAGATGTAAGATCAACTTTGAGTTAATTTTTGTGAAGGGTGTAAGATCTGTGTCTAGGTTTATTTTTTCACATGCAGATGTCCTGCTGTCCCAGCATTATTTGTAGAAAAGACTGTCTTTTCTCCATCATAATACTGCCTTTGGTCCTTTGTCAGTACTGCCTTTGGTCTTTTGTCAGAGATCAGCTGACTATATTTGCATGAGTCTATTTCTTTTTTTGAGACAAGGTCTTTCTCTGTTGCCCAGGCTGGAGTTCAGTGGTGTGATCATAGCTCACGGCAGCCTTGAACTTCCAGGTTCAAGTAATCCTCCCACCTCAGCCTCCCAAATAGCTAGGACTTCAGGTACGTGCCACCACATTGGCTAATTTTTTTTTTTTTTTTCTGTAGAGACAAGATCTTGCTTTGTTGCCCAGTGAGGTCTCAAACTCCTGGCCTCAAGTAGCCTCCCAAAGATGTGAGCCACTGTGCCCAGCCTGCATAAGTCTATTTCTGGGCTCCATATTCCATTCAGCTGGTCTATTTGTCTATTCTTTCACCAATGCCACATTGTATTATTATAATTTTATCATAACTCTTGAAGTCAGCTGTGACAGTCCTCCAACTCTGTTCTCTTTAAACATTGTGTTGGCTATTCTGGATCTTTTGCCTTTCCAAATGAACTTTAGAATCAGTTTGTTGTTATCCACATGATAACTTGCTGGGATTTTTATTGGGATTGTACTAAATCTGTAGATCAAGTTGAGAAGACCTGACATCTTGACAATACTGAGTCATCCTGTGCATGGTCATGGAATATATCTCCATTTATTTAGTAGTCCTTCAATTTCATCAGTTTTTTAGTTTTCCTCAGGCAGTTCTAGATAGATAGATAGATAGATAGATAGATAGATAGATAGATAGACAGACAGACAGACAGACAGACAGACAGATAGATAGATAGATAGATATCTCAGTATTTCTTGGGGGAATGCTAATGTAAGTGGTATTGTGTTTTTAATTTCAAATTTCACTTGTACATTGCTGGCATATTGTAAAGTGCCTGAGTTTTATATATTAATCTTGTATCCCGCAACTTTATTATAACTGCTTACTAGTTCCAGGAGTTTTTCAGTTGATTCCTTCAGAGTTTCTATAGACAATCATATCATCTGTGAACAAAGACAATTCTATTTCTCCCTTTCCAATCAGTACACCTTTTATTTCCTTTTCTGCCTTACTGCTAATATTAGCTAGGACTTCCAGTATGATGTTAATCAGTGGTGAGAAAGGACATCCTGATCTTAGCAGGAAAGCTTCTAGTTTCTCATCATTATGATGTTAGCTGTAGGACTTTTGTAGATGTTCCTTATCAAGTTGTAGAAGTTTCCCCTCTATTCTGAGTTGGCTGAGTTACCATAAATGGGTGGTAGACTTTAGGTTATCAGATTTGTGGGCATAGAGTTGTTCATGGTATTCTTGGACTATGTTTTCTTTGTGGTTTTTGTTTGTTTTTTAATTAAAACACTGAGATTTATTTCACATGTATATTTTTGTCTCCCCACCATTTCCATGTCTGACCACCACTACTACTATGTCCTATCATGACATTCCATACATACTTAAAACCAAGCTAAGGGTGAAGTTGCATCTTTAAAAACTAAACAGGTATTGTGGACAACACATTCTTGGCAATAGAACCTGGACAACACTTATCAAACACGGTAGGGAAAGTTCTCACTCTGCATTATAAAAAGGACAGCCAGATTTCAACTGTTACAGAAATGAAATAAGATGGAAAATTTTTAACAAATTGCTTAAACTATTTTCTTAAAGAGACTTCCTCCACTGCCAGAGATCTTGAATAGCCTCCTGATCAATCATCCAGAAGCAATTCTTCACATAATTAATGAATGTGGCTTCCACTTTGGGAAGAGAACCACCTTTTTCTATACTTGCTTGCATTTTTGCTTTAATGTCTTCTACAGAACTAGGTCCTTTCGGTGTTTTAGGGGTTTTTTCCTGGTTTTTGAAGGATTCTTGTCCTTTTGATCTTGGTGTTGATGCTTTTGAGTGTTTTCCATTCTGATTTGACTTTTGTGCATTTATGGCTGAAATATCTTGTATAGATTTCTTCACTGGCGCTTTTTCTTCAGCTTCCTCATCATCAAAATCATCATCATCTTCTTCATCTTCATTAGCAGCAAGTTTTACTTTTTTCTGTGGAACCCTGCTACCACCTCAGGGGCAGACTGCTTTCCAGATATACTTAAGAGTTTCACACCCTCCTCCTCTTCATCTTCTGA